AGAGGTCCTATTATAGTTACCAACATTCTACAGATGAGGAGACAAAGGCTCAGAGAGATTAAGAAATTTGCTCATGGACATAGCTGGTAGCTGGCAGAGCAAGGATTCAAACCCAGGAAGTCTGATTACAGAGCCTATACTAAAGACACTCTGCTCCTCTGGGAATGAAAATGTCAGAAATGGTCTATTACGGGCAGAAAATTCCTACACCAAAGGTGAATGTGATATTTGAAAAGATTTGGAGGCAAATTATCAAAGTGTGTATTTTTTTTTAAAGTCTATTATGAGAAATAGCCATTTGTAAGTTTTAAAGCCCTGTATTTAAGAAACAAATGAAAATACCAAGTGAACATGTTTTATTTGATGCCATGTGAGTACACTTCTTTTAATTGGAATTTGGTCAGTTTTTTTGTCATGGGAATGGACTATTGATATTCAACTAGCAGAATTTTTTATATAGCATTAGTCATAAAATATTAGTTTATTTGTACACTATGCCTAAACATAGCAATCTCAGTGTTGAAAGCTACACATATTAATCTGAAGTCTGAACAGTAGGAGTCTTCTGACAATAATCTAAAAAACTATAATAAGTATGTATTTGTAATTTATGTAAAATAATTTTTAATTTTTTATATTTGTTATAAAATTATAATGTTATATATTATTTAAAAACATATTTTTTCTTTTGTGAGCTATAATAAGGATTGCCACAATTAAGGATGCCTTTCCATGTAATGTATACAATGACTAACACTGATATACAATACATAGAAAACTTAACGGAGTAAGTCCTAAGTTCTCATCACAAACAAATTTTTTTTACTCTTTTCTTCTTTATGTTGTACCTACATGAGAAGATGGGTGTTAGCTGAACCTGTTATGGTAACCATTTCACAATATATGTAAATCAAGCCATCATGCTATAACCTTATACAGTGATGTATGTCAATTTTTTTTCAAAAAAACTAGAAAAAAACCTCATTTATCTCACTGTCATATATCATTATTTCAGAGCAAGATCATCCATTGTTTAACGCAGTAAGAAAAAAAAATGCAGAAAATCAAGAGACACACATCAACTGAAGGATTTCACACTTCCTGCACTTCCTATGAAATGGAGTGTCAAGATATTTGACAGGTATTTCTTGAACCACTTCTGCCAGAAATGAAATTCTGGGACCCCCTTAATTGATTCCCAAAGTCAAAAGTTATGGGCTCATGAATATATCCAATAACAACTCTTACCTCTTTTGGGTCACTGTAGAAGAAATTTCTCTTCTTCAGTTATAAAATCATAAAAAGCAAGCAAGCATGTTTCCCAACCTATGCAGATAGGCAGACATTGCATGTTCTCCTTACTTGATGCAGAGAGGCAACCATTCTCTGGAAAATGGCTCACAAAACTTGAGCATGTGTTGCTAAAAAATATACCATAGTCACAGGATATTACTCCCTTCCGCTTTCCTTGAAAAGGAAAAGCCTTTACATCCCAGTGTCAGGGGAGTTTCCGTCCTCAGGAAGATTTTCTCAGCTTCAGGCTCATCAAAATTATCCCTGTTACAGGCAGGTACTGCTGTGTAATTACTTGAGTATTTTGCCATTTAGATCCAACTGCTACCGAGAAATACATTGTTTTAGGCTGAGAGAACCCTGTAAGCCAAGTGAAGCTAAAAAAATAAATGTTTTTGAAGTGATAATTTCAAATGGATAGAGAAGAGTAATGAGAAAACTGCAGAGTAGCACAGGCATGCCAAACTCAAAAGAACTTGTGTGGCGCCGCATGAGTATTATCAAAGGAAATGTGCCATAATTACCAGCTTACAAGGTGTATTTTCCTCTTAAAAGTATCTGAAAATTACCTCATACTAATATACCCATATCACACTAAGAGGTCAGTAAAAATGGCCTAGATTCTTGGGTTAGCAACTACCCAACACGGAGCACAAATACTTACCTACTCCTAAATGCAAAGTGTGGGAAAACAACCATCACAGTAAAATTTCACATCCCATCTATAACTACTTAACACAACCCTCAGACTACAGAACTATCTAGGAGCTAAATTTAAAATTAACCCCCCCCACATATGAGATACAAATTCATCATTTCTGTAATTTGTGACTCAAAAGCCAAGAAGATATTAGGTTTTAATGCAATAGCTTAATGTTGGGAATATGGCAATTGGATTTTAGAACAGAATTTTAAAGATGACAACTCCATTTCAAATCCAGTGAATGCAAGCAATAAACATTATCTAGATTGGAGCTGTGATGATGGATTTCTAGTTTTGGATATAACTTCTTTGGCTTTATTAATAATTATTTCTAGATTTTAAGGAAGATCAAAACTTATGTACATTTTGTTGTTATTTAGCCATGATTTTCACTGATACTTTTATTACAGCTTATCTAAATTCCTTGGTTACTTTTCTCATACAAACTGTAAAATACTTGATTTGATCACATATCCAGCATCAAGTTAAAATTCCTTTGCATTTATTTTAAATGCTTTGTTCCATTTTTTTACGGAAATATTTGTATGTTCTAAAGCTATATGTAAAAAAATACAATTTTATTTTTATATTATGGTTTACTTTTTAAATCCTCTACATTCACTGAAATAAAGCAATAATATTATATTAATTTTACCAAACTAATATGCATGGTGAGAATTTAGTTCTAGTAAATTTTATTGCTTTCTGTATGTAGGTATTTATTCACAATATCATATTTCTTTTTAGCTATAGGGCACTATAGTTCTATTTAAAATGAGTACATTACTGCATATCAGATCTAGGAAATCTCATTAAAATATACTGTATTTGAACAAAATAATGATTATGCAACACACTTTGAAATCATTTTTACTAAGTGTTTAATTTTTTCCAAAAATTCCCTCCATAAAATTGCAATGCATTGTGTATACTTACCTTATATCTCGTATGGCAGCAAATATGGTACTTCCAGAAGAATACTGGCATCCATCACATTAAATTGCCTATTAATTTGCCCTTTGCTAGTACCATAGTTCGTTGAAACTAATTTCTGAGTTTTTGTTTTACAATTATATAAACATTGAAAGCTTAGGAATTACACCTAATTTTATGTTGGTACATATTTAATTAATATTATAATAAAATTTAGGAAGTGGTGCCTGGGTGGCTTAGTCATTAAGCATCTGCCTTTGGCTCAGGTCATGATCCCAAGTTCCTGGGATAGAGCCCCACATCGTGCTCCCTGCTCAGCGGGGAACCTGCTTCTCCCTCTCCCACTCCCCCTGCTTGTGTTCCCTCTCTCACTGTATCTCTCTCCATCAAATAAATAAATAAAAATCTTTTAAAAAAATTAAATAAAATAAGATTCAGGAAGAATCCAATGTTATACAATATTAGATCTAGCTAGTGGTCTAAGCTGGGTCTATAACAGGTATCAAAAAGCTTAGCAACCAATTTTAACAACAGTGAAAAATAAAAGGAAATTTGGTCAAATTATTTGATTTTGGTATATGGTACTTACGCTGTTAAACATCAGTACTTTGACAAAAACTGTGAGGTTGGAGGGATAGCTTTTGTAACTAAAGATGTCAGATTGAGCAATTAATGCAGTCAGAATTTGAGCAAGCAATCTCCAATTCCCTCATCTTATAGAAAAGAGATATGGAAGCTGAACTAGGAGTTCTGGTGTCCTTTGCCACTGTAATTTTTGCTTCTGAAAAATATAATTTGCAACAGACACAAAAATACTTAAAAAAAAAAAAATGACTGAGCCATTAAGTTTGGCCAAGAGTCTCTTTTCCTTATTTGGTCAAAGTGAAAAGTGGTACCCCGAGGATAGAAATCACAGAAATGCTTGCCCAGTAAAGGTGGTATCCATCAATTTAATTAGAAACTAATTTGGAAAACAATATTTTCTCATTGACAAATTTCTACAGCTTATATGTCATTTCTGCAGAACACAAGATACATAATTTATAATAGGGTATACAGTGTTCTATAGGGATATGCTAAATTTTTAGCTGGTAAAAATAATTTAGTGGGATATAAAATCATTGCCCAAGTAAACAAGAAAATCTGTTGCATTCCTTAGGTCATTACTTTTTTTTTTTTTAAATGTCATTACTTTTTAAAGATACTTCGGCCTTATAAGACCTTTTTATTAAAATACCTGAGTTATAAAAAATTTATACTATAAAAACCAGCTATTTCACTATTACAAATCCTTTGCCAAAGATCAATTCATTATAACTCAAAATACACTACTACATGATATCTATAGTCTTCATGATGTCAATATTAAGTATAATAATTATTCTAGTATTTTTAATTCCATAATTTATTTAAAAGTCACTTTTCTAAATGAAATATTTAGCAATCCAGAGTAACCAGCGACCAAGTCCACCTTGTCACTGTCTCATTATCTTTAATATTTAATCGTGACAGCCTAATATATGCAATTATTTTCCCACTAGGAAGTCTATAAGTTAACTATCACCAAAGAACATCAGTTTCATCAAGCAGATTTTTTTGGTGTGTAAGAAACAACAAAATTGGCTTTTCAAAAAAAACCAAATATTGCCACTAAGGCTTCAAATATATGAGGTTAAAAAATGGAAGCTATATACAAAACATTATATTATAAACTAAATTCACAATTTCAATTTTAAATGGCAGGCTTGAGATTTTTCTATGGCAAAATTAACGTAATTATTCTAGGTAAACAAAAATTCCTACTACTAATAGTTAAGTTATTCTACCATATTTCTGATTAAAGATAGACTTGTAGGATTAGGTTTATTTTGTTTTTAAGTAGGCTCTAAACCCAGCATGGAGCCCAACAAAGCGCTTGACTGAGATCAAGAGTCAGAAGAGGCTTAACAAACTGAGTCATCCAGGCACCTTATAAGACTAGTTTTAAGTGACATACAGCCATTGGTTTTTCCCTCTGCCTTTTAATGTGATCCACTGTCATATTTAAATTACAAAGGAAATTAACAACCCCTTAATTTATAACGAGTTTGAAGTTTATTTTACAGCACTTTTATTGAGACATCATGTAACTACTGACCAGGACTGTTTACAAATGTAGTGCTTGGCCTTTGAGACAATTAAAAACTTTTAAGTACTAAATTTTACATCATGATTTGTTTAACTTAAGAAGTATTATGATGGTGAAAACTAACAGAAGAAAATCTAAAGCAAAAATATAATGATTTCCACAAAAACTATATATTCCTCCCTCATATCAAAGGGAGGAAAGTAGGAAGGAAAGAAGAAGAAAAGGAGAGAGGGAAAAAATAGATGAGAAGAGAAAGAAAAATGGCAAGACAGGCAAGAAAAATACTTTTTTTTTTTTCTGTTTGCAAAAAGGAGGGAAACTCTGAGGTCTCAGCAAATAATGTAATCAACTGAGTCAGTTTATATTAAGGCATCTTCTTTACATATTATTGAATCCCATCATGCCTTTCATATTGCCAGCAGCACCCTGTTGAAATTGCCTCATCATTGACTGAAGTCCTGCCATACCACCTAGAGTAAAAATAGAGTAAAATCAGGTAAGTATTAGGTGGCACTTGAAACATGTATTATTCTTACCAAATAAGTACTTTAACTTCTAAAATATTTACTGGGATCTGATTACGATTTGGTCATCAGGCTTAAAGAACATGCCAATTAAAAATCTGTATTATTAACCAGCATCCTTATCTATAAAACAGAAAAAAAAAAACCTACCTCAAGTTAGAAGGAATAAATAAGATAATATACGAAAAGATCTTAGAACAGTACCTGTCACACAGCAGGGAGTCAATAATTCTAAACAAAAGAATTTTTTCTGGGAAGTCCAAAAGAGTCTTGTTGTAAATAGTAACCAATTCTGAGGAGTGGAGGAATTGTTTCATAGAAGTTACAGGAAGAAAAGAATTAAACATCTATATGCCCTGAGCTGAACTAAATGCTTTCATATATATTAGCTCACTTAATTGTCACAATTTCCTGACGAGATATTATCTGTGATTTTATCAAAGAGGAAAGTAAGGTTCAGAAAGTTTAAGGAACTTTTCATAGGTCACACAGCAAAAGTATAACTGGGTTTCAAAATCCTTATATAATTTCAAAGTCTCATCATTGAAAATATCCAGATTCCAAACTAGGGCAAAAGGTCACTGGAACAAACATTAACAGATGATGATGAAGTACCTTGCTCAAAAATCACACAGATGGCAGCAGAAGAGGGAATACAACCTCATTTATATAGCACTATTACAACCATTCAACTTAGAATTCAGATGACTATTTCCCTCAAATCATACACCTTTTGAACAGATGTTTATAATATCATAACAGAAGGCTTATTAAAACTCAACCTTTATAAATTAAACTGTGTATTATAAACTGGCAACAACTTTGTATTTACCCATGTGATGAAGAACTCTTGGATCCATCATTTTGGCCATTTGTTGATTCAGTTTTGCCATCTGTGACTGACTCACATTCTTAGACATGTCACCACCTCGGGGGGGGGGAAGAAAAGTTTTGAGGAGAATGCAATATAATCAGAGTATTGTAGAAAGTTTAATGAATTGAGGAAAATTTTTAAAAAATCACCTACAACCATACTACACTTACACATTATTTCTCTTCTAATCTTTATCTCAATTACATACATATTTTTGAGAAAGAACAAGGGAAATTCTATACTAAGGGGCATTTAAGGGATTTTTTAAGGGCTATGATTTTTGTTACTACAGAACTGTATCCAGTGATTCTTGACAGTAAGCTACAACAATGTTTAAAAGTCATATGGGAAAATGGCAAACAAAAACCTGACTCTATAGATAAGGGTTCACAGGGAAAGAGCCTGGGTTGCTGGTAAATTAATAGAAACTGAGAGAACATGAAGGTTTGCATATAGCTAAGAAGCTATTAAAAATAATGAAAACCTTCAGAGAATGGAAAAACAAATAATGCAAATCCATTTACCAATGAATTTCCACACACTTAACTGAAAACTCCACAGTAAAAAAGAAAGCCAATAAAAGAGATGCACTCTGAGGAAGAACAGATAAGAGCATCCTCTTTAGAGAAAAGCTGCTGTGGTCTCAAGAGACAGGAAGCAAAATAGATCACCGATGCAACAACAATGAGTAAGTAGAGGGGCTTTAGGCAAAATTATCTCAAAGGAACATTAATTCTGGTACTTCTCAAATGCATTATGAAAATGAACATCAAAGCTGGCTCATCTGAATAAATTATATGAATTAAGAAATATGAATAAAATACATTTTTATAAAACATGGTAAAATCTGTGAAAACTTTTTCATGATTAATACATCAGTGTAAGATGTGAATTCTGTATCCATTGGTAAATTGTCACAAGTGTTTGTTTCTGAGGACTTAAAACTTGTAAGAAATATTAAGAGCTTGGTGTAACAAGAATGTGTGTTACATTTACTGCCCATTCATCTTGATTGTGCCTTTACTGAGTAATCAGTGCTTAGATAAGTGGATCTACGATAGTTCTAGCAAGAATAGTCAGCTATCTCTCTAAAATAAATAAATCTCTTTATTCATTTATTTATTTATTTATTTTTTAAAAAAGCAGTGCCAGGGTAGCACAATTGGTTATGCGTCCAACTTGGTTTCAGCTCAGGTCATGATCTCAAAGTCGTCAGACTGGGTTCCCCGCTTAGCGCAGTGTCTGCTTGAGATTCTCTCTTCCTCTCCCTCTGCACCCCACCCCCCACTTGTGCTCTCTTTCTCTCTCTCTGATTTTTTTAAAGATTTTATTTATTTATTTGAAAAACAGCAAGAGAGAGGAAGAGAGAGAAAGCATGAGCAGAGGAGAGGCAGGTAGAGAGGGAGAGGCAGACTCCCTGCTGAGCAGGGAGCCAAATGTAGGGCTTGATCCCAGGACCCTCGAATCATGACTTAAGCTGAAGTAGACGCTTAACTGACTGAGCCACCCAGATGCCCCTCTCTTTCTCCCTCTAAAATAAGTAAAAAACTCTTTAAAAAAATAGGGTTATTTGGGAAAGATGTTAAACTGACATGTGTTTAATAATCACTATTTGAAATAGCATGTGATGTGAGGAATTATAACCAATTTTAAACATGTTTGTCTAACTTTCCTCCCTGTCACAAAAAAACAAAATAATATAGGGTCACCTGGGTGGCTCAGCTGGTTAAGCCACAGACTTGATTTCAGCTCAGGTCATGATTTCAGGGTCATGAGATCGAGCCCCACATCAGGCTCTGCATGCAGCAGGGAGTCTGCTTGAGAGTTTCTCTCTCCCTCTCCCTCTGCTCCTCCCCCAATTCATGTGTTCACATGCTCCCCCACTCTCTCAAATACATACATAAATAAATAAGTAAAATCTTAAAAAAAAAAAAAAAAGAAAATAGCATATAGCAAGCAAAGAAAATAAGAAAAGTATCAAAGACAAAGGGAAAAAAAGATACTCATCCTTTTTAGTAAGCTATTCAGTGGTACTGCTTCATTTGGAGATTATCTAATCAGTGTGTTTTGAAATAATAAATTCAATTTAATAGTGTTTGTAATACAGAAAAAAAATTTTAAGAGAGGGCTAGGACAATTAGAAAAGTAAACTTATCTTTTGACCTTACACAGTACACAGCAAAATAAATTTAAGATGAGATAAAAAGTTAGAAACCTAAAAAATAACATCCAAACAAGTAGAAAATGTAGGTGGGTATTTTATCAGCATGGCGAAGGTTTTTCTGAGCATAACAGAAATAAAAGAAAATGATAAATAGTCTTGGCTACATTAAAAATAAAAGCTTCCATTCACTAAAAAATACAAATAAAAATAAAAGGCAAATGAACAGTGGGTAAAATACTTGCAGACCTAAACCAAGGATTTTCAAGAGTTACTACAAAGCAACAGGGGGGAAAAATGAGACAAATGAACAAGGAACCTAAGGGGTGATTCACAAAGGGAATCTAAACTAATAAATGTACAAAGAGATGTTAAACTTGAGTAGTAATCTAAAAACACCTACTGAAAGAAACATTCGATCATTAAATTGGAAACATTAAATTATTAAAAATTCATTCAGCGTCTACTATGTAATCTGATTAAACAGACAAAACCCCTGGCTTCCCAGAAGACCACACAGGAACTAATGACAGAACTGATACTAATACAGAAGCAGATGAGCCAGCCTAAATATCCACTGCACAAAACAAAGATACAAGCATAACCTGAAGAATATTCAGTGATTAAAAGCTATATTCTAAAGAATATTTGGCAATATAGAAAAATAAGTCATGATGCTTCAGAAGAAATCATTAGTTATAGTCCCATTCGCAATGGGACCCATAGGATTCTCTGGGGAGATAAGATAATGGGTGTTTTAAGTTTTTTTCATATACTTTCTTATTCTGTCTAAATTTTCTTTAATATGTATTACATATTCATAAAAAGAAAATCATTGTTTGTTTTTTAATTAGTGTTTATTACCTTGAATCTGAAAACAGAGAAATCACAGATCACATTCAAGAAGTTCTTAACTAGAACATGAAATTCAGCAATATGTTTCCCAATATTTGCAGTACTCCCCGGCTTTAATTTTAGTGTTTCAGCTTCTTTCTTTACTTTCACTACGTTAACTAATGAGGAGTCTGTTATTTTTCTTACCTTTGAAAAGTCCTTTGATACCGCCCATCTTTTTTACCATCTGTGCAAATTTGGTGTATTGTGTCAAAAGTTCTTGAACATCTCTTGTTGACACACCTGATCCTCTTGCTACTCTTTGGATTCTTCCTGGTTGCTTACTAAAAACCTTGGCACCATCAGTACTGTCAAGTTCTGTAGACAAAGATTAATTACTTTCATTTACATACACTTAACATTCATTATTAAAACAGTTATGTACAAATACCATGCACACAAAAATAAAATGGTAAAACCACCACCTGATTTAACAAATGTTATCACCTGCCATGTTTGCATCTGATTTTTTAAAAAATTTTATTTATTTATTTGACAGAGAAAGAGAGATCACAAGTAGACTGAGAGGCAGGTAGAGAGAGAGAGGGAAGCAGGCTCCCCACCCAGGACCCTGAGATCATGACCTGAGCCAAAGGCAGAGGCTTAACCCATTTTTAAACATTAAACATAAACTGTATTCAAAAGAACATCTATAATATTTGTAAGCTACAAAAACAATAAAAAATACACATGTACTCACTCCACCATTTAAGTAAAATAGAACATTTGAAAACCTTTAAAACCCATGTCCACCTTTTCCATATCTCATATCCAACTGCCCCTCAGAGCATACTAGAAGTATAAGGTATATTTCAAAAAAGAAAAGTGCTTACTTTAGCTCTAAATAACTATTAACATTTAAATAATAAATTTAGGCATCTAAGCAACAGAAATAAGTAAGTTCTATCATCAACAGAATAATGGTAATCTTTTCCATATAATTACTACTAGTATTTTAATCCTTTCTGTGACATAGAGTGAGTTAATTCCCCCCAGTGTTTTTATAACTCTTAGAATATGAGGTGCATTTCTTCTGGCTTTCACTGCATACAATCTCAGGAATGCGACAGACTTTAGTCTAAGTTTCTATTATATCTGCATTCTCTCTACGACATCCCCCAATAAATGGTCATCTAGCCTCAGTCTTAATGTGCCCAGATGACCCACTATCTAGTATCTGAAATACAGTAATCTATGCCATTCTATCATACCTGTAATTATGGAAAATCTTTTCACATATTAAAATAAAACAAATTTGCCTGGCACCTCTTCCTATTTGCATATGTGTCTCCTTGCCAGGCACAAAGAATGAGGCTTTCAAATATTTGAGAGCTACCAAGTCTCTGGTGAATTTCCTCTAGGTTACAAATTCCCAAATCTTTTGACTGTTTCTCTTATAACATGGTTTAGAACTCCATTTATTATTATTTTTTAAAGATTTTATTTTTATTTGACGGAGGTAAAAAAGAGAGAGAGAGAAAGAAAGTGCAAGCAAGGGGGAGCAGCAGAGGGAGAAGAAGCAGCAGCCTCCCCACCGAGCAAGGAGTCCAACGTAGGGCTCGATCCCAGCACCCTGGGATCATGACCTGAGCCGAAGGCAGATGCTTACCAACTAAGCCACCCAGGTGCCCCTAGAACTCCATTTCTTATCCTGATTTCCTAATATTTTCTAATTTGTCTATGCCCTCTAAGCATATAGTCCAGAAGTAAACTGAAATCCAATACAATGTAAATAAGGAGCCCATTATCTCATAATAAATTTACAGCCATTAAAACCTAAATCCATCTCATAAATACAGCTTTTAAGCCACACCTTCACTATAAAATATTTAGGAAATATGTATTCTAACAGCTAAAGTGGAGTGAAGTGAAAAGACAAGCTATGACAGCACATCATGGTAAGTCGTTATGACAGAATTAAACGAAAGTCAGAAGGGGACATAATTTAAAGAAGAAAGGAAGTCAGGAAGGTTCCATGCTGATGGTTCTTCTTTAACTGAGTAGTTCTAAAGGACAAATAGGAGTTCAATAAGAGAAAGAAGCAAGGGACATTCTATGAAACAGAACATGGGATTTCTAGAATAAAAATAGTTTTGTGTAGAAGAAATGAAGCTTGGATAAGAGCTGAGATTTTAATAAATTGCAAAAGTAGGTAAGGACAAGATTATAACAGGATCTGTATGCCAGGCTTAGGAGTTTGGAATTCATTATGATAACAATAAAAAGTCACTGAAAGAGTCTGACCCTAGAATTTTTCTTTAAAGATTTTATTTATTTATTTATTTATTTGAGAGAGAGCAAGCGAGAGCATATGAGCTCTCTAGCAGGGGGAGGGGCAGAGGGAGAGAGGGAATCTTAAGCAGGCTCCACACCCAGCAAAGAGCCCGACATAGGGCTCAATCTCATGACCCCGAGATCATGACCTGAGCGGAAACCAAGTCAGATGCTCAACCAAATGAGCCACCCAAGCGCCCTGATCCCAGAATTTTTTTAGAAAGGCCATTATTGTGGCAGTGAGGAAGACAAATTGGTAAGAGAAGTGATAAAATCAAAAGGTAAATGTTAGGAAGCTACTATATAACAATCTAGGTTAAGAAATGATGAGTGTATGAACTAACTCAGAAACAAAGGAAAGAGGGAAGATATAAGAACTATTTAGGAAATGGAACTCACTAAACCTAAGGTAATGTTAAGGTTCCTATATTCCACTAGAAGTGGTAAAATACTATTAGAAGTAAACTGTGATAAGCTAAATATATATGCATATTATAATACCAGGCAGTTCAATATGTATGCATATTGTAATACCTAAAGCAACCATTAAGAAAATTATTTTTAAAAATATATTCAGGGGGTGCCTGCGTGGCTCAGTGGGTTAAAGCCTCTACCTTCGGCTCAGGTCATGATCCCAGGGTCCTGAGATCAAGTCCCGCATCAGGCTCTCTGCTCAGCAGGGAGCCTGCTTCCCAGCTCCTCGCCAACCTGCCTCTCTGCCTACTTGTGATCTCTGTCAAATAAATAAATAAAATCTTTAAAAATATATATTCAGAAAAACTATATGTATTAAATAACCTAAAAATAATAATTATTATTCTATAATATTTATAGAATACTAAATAACATTCAAGTAACTCACAGGAACATATAAAAGAATAAATCAGAAGAACAAAACTTGCAAGGAACAAACAGGACAAAAATTAATTTGGCAGAACTAAATCCTAATATATCAATAATGTATCAGTTAAAAGAGAGTGTATGAGAATGTATTAATAGAAAAAATAACTCAATTACATGCTGTTGACTAAAACTCACTTCGAATGTAATGATACAGGCAGGTTAAAAGTAAAAAAGATAGAAAAAGATAAACAATCCAAACAACTGATTAAAAGAAAGCTCTATTAATATAAGACAAAACAGACGACAGACAAAGGAGGACATTACATACAAATGACAAAAAGGTCAATTTACCAAGAAGACAAAACAATCCTAAGTGTGTATTGTACCCAACAAAATAGCTTACCTGACAAAAAAAATTATAGAACTAAGAGAAGAAGAGCTAGGCACTTCAATACCTTCATCTCCATAATCAATTGAACCTCTAGACAGAAAATCAGCAAGGATATAAATCTTGGTTGACCCCAGTTTCTAGGTTGGGTGACTGAGTAGATAGGTATCTACCAGATAGATGGAAGTGTCACTCCCCAAGGGAGAAAACTGAATTTTGGATCCATGCCTCAGAAAACTTTCAAACTTATAAATAGAGATGTCTGTCCACCATTTAGTGAGCATCTAGAAAAGAGGTGGTCCAGAGTGCAGACTCTTAAGCCAGAATGCCTGAGTTTGACGCCTAGTCTCTCCACTCTGCAGTTAGCATCCTTGAGCAAACAACTCAACTTTCCTGTATCTCAGTTTCCTAATCTGCAAAAGCTATATAATAATGGATTTTAACCCCAGAACTGCCCCTTGAGAGTTACTATGATGATTAGATGGGTTAATATATATAAAAAGCTCAGGAGAGAGTAAATACTCTAGATATGGCTATAATTATTAATTCTACCTACAAAACTTTTTGTAGTGTTGAAGACACACAGATGAGAAAGACACAATCTTATTTGGGTTACTACGAAAGCCTAGAGCTCAGGAAAGAGGTAGAGACTACAAAAAAATAATCGGTCAAGCAACGGAGAAAGTACAGATGTGGATGAATTATTCAAAGAAAATGAGCAGAATGAGAAGAAACATTGGCTGAGGACAGAACCTGTAGTATACAGTCATTTTAGGGGCAGGCTGAAAAAGTAACTGGGTTAACAAGAAAGGTAAGGGTAAAATTAGTGAGATGGCATAATAGAAGACTGAAAAAAAGCCAATGTTTAAAGGTCAAGAAAAAGACTGACTGAAAAAAATCCACTGGAGCAGCTCAGTAGGTTACTGGAAATCTTTTTATGATCTGTTTCCATGTGGTGGTGGGGAAAGAAGTTCGATTTCAGTAGTTTGAGAAAAATACAAACTGTTCTTTTAAGAAGTTTTACTGAAAAGAGAAAAAAAAAAAAGAATAAAAAAGCATGAGGGAGGATAGCCCAGAACACCTGAACTTAAGAATGTTTATATGCTGATGGGGGAAAAAAGTCAGTAGGTAAGAAGAGACTGGAGATACAGGAAAGGATTTTATTGAGGGTATACTTTCCCTCTTCTGCTCACTCCTCCCCAACTTGTGCACGCACACACTCTCTCTCCCTCTAAAAAAAAAAAAAAAAGACTGAAACCTTGAGAGCTTCAGTGCCAAGTAAGTTTGTAAACATTGCTTAAACTATCTATCTTACAGATTCCCAATTCATGTTAGCATATGACTATACTGAGGAGACTTATAATAAATAATCTTAATAGTTTTTTAACCCAGAATTCCCTCACATTCATTTGACTACGGAACTCTCAAGTTATTTCTATCATCATCAAGAAGAACAAGTGTTCTCTGAAGAACACTTGGGAGAGTGTTTGGAAATGTACTAGACATTTCTATGAAGTCAATCCAATAGTCATAACCCTTTGAATAAGAGCTTCCAAACAGCTATAAATCTATCTACCAATAATCTTCCAGTCTAAAATTTTTCCCCATCTTGTCCATAAGAACACAGTGAAACTATCCACTTGCAAATATTCAGAACGTTGTCCTCTAAATCAAATAATCTGCCATCTTACCTTGATCATTCATACTATCCATTATCGTCATTAATTTCTTTAGCCTTGCCATTGACTCCTGTTCATTTCCTTTGCTCATAAAGTCTGTTCCAAAACCAGGGATCATCCCCTGAAATAAATATATTTCAACATAAAAATCAACAAGAGCTTGAAAATAAATTGTTCAGAATGTTCACATTCAACTACTGGCTTTATTTTTGACACTAAGTTTTTAAAATTTTTTTACCCAAACAGCAAAAATAATAAAAGCAAATGCATCTATTTTTAAAATTTTTAATGAAAAGCAGAAGAAGAAAGAAAAAAAAACAACTTAGGATAACTAACCAAGATCTGACTGAAGGGGCCCATTTTCATGATATTTTGAAATTGTTCATACATGTCTCGCAACGTAAACTGACCTGAAATACAATATAAATGGTTCAGATATATTAGAGAATGTACATTTCCATTCAATAAAATTAATCTTTTCCTTAGTCATGGGTTCATCCTGAAACACACTTGTAAAACATCCAACTGATAAACATTCCTGAGCAGTCACTAGGGGCAAGATCATAGGGTGAATGCACTGTAGAATATAACACAGATTCTGTCCTAGAGAAGCTCACATTCTATCAGAGAAGAGGGACAAAAACAAATATGCAAAAACCTTGAAAACGAGGCAACCCAACTCTACCCACTAGGATGACTAAAAAGCCTGACAACACCAAAAGTTAAAGAAGATGTGGAGCAAGAAGAACTCTCACATGTTGCTGAGAATGAAAAATTGGCAAGACACTTTAGAAGATTGTCTGCCTTTTCCTAAACAACTTGGCTGTCCACAGGACAGGAAAGTGATAGACTCTGGATGAAATACTACCCAGCAACAAAAGAACAAGCTACAGGTACACGCAACTAAATGGATGAATGTCAAAAATTTATGCTCAAGGGGCGCCTGAGTGGCTCAGTGGGTTAGGCCGCTGCCTTCGGCTTGGGTCATGATCCCAGGTCCTGGGTTCGAGCCCCGCGTTGGGCTTTCTGCTCGGCGGGGAGCCTGCTTCCTCCTCTCTCTCTGCCTGCGTCTCTGCTTACTTGTGATTTCTCTCTGTCAAATAAATAAATAAAATCTTTAAAAAAAAAAAAAAAAAAAAAAATTTATGCTCAATCAAAGAAACTAGGTGGGGGGAGGGTGGGAGAAAGGACATAACTCTAGGAGTCTTACAATATGATGTACTTACTGGGAAGGAGAATGAGCAAACTTTGTAGTTAATGGAAATGTTGTTTCCTGATGGATATGGGTTATTCTGCATTGTCAAAATTGACAGAATCATATCCTTAGGAACCAAGCATTTCACTATGTGTAAATGAACTTAAATTAACAACAACAACAATCCAGAGTATTTTCTGTTTATGTCCTAAAGAAATAACTAGAAAAGCTATTTGGGTTTTGCCATTCTGTTAAATTTAAGGGGCAGTACAATATTTTAAAGGAAATGTTAGAGCAGACAGCTAGAAATGTAAAAATAAACAACGGAAGAAAAAGTTAAGGCTGAAATACACATTTGGCCATTATATAGAAGGGACCATTGAAGCCATGACAGCAGATGAAATCCACTGTCATGGAACCCAAGTGAAGAGTTTGAAAACAAAAGAAAGATAACACTTAAATATTGGGAACCAAGGTAAAAAAGAAAGGTTACTACTTTTGCCCTTGGTGACCTCAGAAATAGTAGAATGCTAAGAGCAGAAGCAAAATGCAGATACAGGGAGAGACCTAAGAGTCAAAAAGTAGACTGACTAGGGATATAGTTTAGTGTGGTGGTGGAAGCACTGGTAGGGCTCTCCAGAAGAGAGGAAGATGGGGAAAAGAACCTGGCAATGAGGGATAGAATCATTTGTACAACAAATATTTATTAAAGATCTATGAAGTGCCAGAAATAGGTACTATAAACTTAAAAGGTGAGGAATATAGCTATGAAACTTACCTACATCTTCAAGCAGGGAAGTCAGATATCTAATAATTGTGATGAACAGTACAAAAATTATAGGGTGCAATGGAAACATAAAGCAGAGAGTTGTAACTCAGTCCAGGGATCAGGTAAAGTGTCCCTAAAGAAGGAGAGACTGAAGTATGAGTAGGAGTTAGCCAGTACAGCTAGGGAGAGGAGGGTGGAAGTAGGAAGATGAGAGTACACCTGTCTAACAGGCAAAGGCACAGAGGTGACAGATAGCAATGTACATTTGAGAAGCTGAGTGAAATTCAGCCTGCCGTCTGAATGAAATGTTAAGAACAGCATCAAAAATGATACGGAAGGGGGGCGCCTGGGTGGCTCAGTGGGTTAAGCCGCTGCCTTCGGCTCAGGTCATGATCTCAGAGTCCTGGGATCGAGCCCCGCATCGGGCTCTCTGCGCAGCAGGGAGCCTGCTTCCTCCTCTCTCTCTGCCTGCCTCTCTGCCTGCTTGTGATCTCTCTGTCAAATAAATAAATAAAATCTTAAAAAAAAAAATATGATATGGAAGGGAGTGCATGGGTGGCATGAGTTAAGCGGCTGCCTGCAGCTCAGGTCATAATCCCAGGGTCCTGGAATCGAGCCCCGCATTGGGTTCCCTGCTCAGCGGAGAGCCTGCTTCTCCCTCTCCCTCTGCCTGCCACTCTGCCTACTTCTGCTCTCTCACTTTCTGTCAAATAATGAAATCTCAAAAAAAAAAAAAAAAAAAAAAAAAAAAAGTTACAGAAGATGTGGCCAGATGGTAGAGTCTTTTTTTTTAAGACTTTAATCTCTACACCCAACATAGGGCTCAAATTCACAACTCTTAGATCAAGAGTCACATGCTCCTCCAACTGAGCCAGCTAGGCACCCCAATGGTAGTGTCATTTAAAAACATCCTAAAGGCAATGGGAAGCCACCGAAAGATTTTTAAGAAAGGCAGTAATGGGATCAGACTTGCATTTTTCAAAGATCATTTAGCTACAGTATAAAAAATAGATCCAAGGGGAAGAATCCAAGAAACAGGAAGATTGTTAGAATAAACAATCTAGGCAAGAGATAAACTGCATAATTGAAGCAGCTGGAGAGAAGGGAATGGAACGAAGATATTTAGGAGGTAGACTTACTAGGCCAGTTGACTGACGGGAAAAGGAAAGGGCAGAGTGAGGAAGAAGTCCACAACACCCGTTTCTGCCTCTGGCAACAAGACATTAGCATTCATTGAAGATAACAATCCTGTCAGACAGTAGGTAGGATGGGTAGATACGGATATGCTGAATTTAAAGTATGGATAGAACATCCAAGAATGGTCTAGTAAACATACAGATAATGGTCTGAAGCTCCAGAGAAAAGAAGATGGCCTAGCATTGATCCCTGAAGAACACCAACATTTAAGAGAGAGATAAAGGCGTTGGTAACTGACAAGATAAGTGAGAAAGAGCAGAGAGGCAAGATAGTATGTGATAGAAATGGTCCACAATAATATATGTTGAAAGCTCCTGATTTTATATGTATCAACTGATTTAATCCTCACAACTCTATGAAGAGACTTAGTATTACCTACTTTTTACAGATAAAGAAATAAAGGTTAAGTAATTTGAAAAAGTTACATTGCTAAAAAATAGATCAGATATAAATTCAGGTATGACAGATTTAAGAACTTGAGCTCTTAATCACAACAAATATGTTCTACAGAAGTGGTCCTTAATGTGATGTGAAAAAATGTGTGTGCTTTATTTCATTCTTTCAAGTTTCTTTATATTTTATTATATATTATATATATACATATATACGCACACATAATTTATAAGTAAACAAAAAATTTTTTAATTTATAAGTAAACAGATTAGAAAAATGTTCCAACTTACATTTAACCTGTTCTACTTCAAGAAACCCAATGAAAACCTTAATTTTAACCTTAAGGCAATTTGATTACAAGGAAGAAAACAAAAACACTCAATTCTACAATTGTTCACATATCTGAGATTTTAAATGATTTGCATATAATAAACATTTGATGAATTGAACTGTAATAATAGATTTATCATTTCAAACAAATTAACAGTAGCTTTATAAAAAAGAAATCATGGAAAGACATCTGAGAGCAAATGCTTTTGCTTCTCATATACCATGTTTCAACTTCTCTATAAGTGCTTCATTGTCATCCAACTTCAATTCATTGACTTTATCTATCAGTCCTTCAATGTCGCCCATACCTACAAGACACAAAAAAAGAAAATTAACAATAATATATGCTTTACATTATAAAAAAAATACATGCCCACAGATAATACTCCTGTGAGATATCAGGGCAGATGTTCCTACTATACAGGTGAGAAAACTGAACCTTCAGAGGTTAAATGACAAAGCAGGGACTCTAGCCCAAGGTTTTATTCCAATTCCATACTCTCTATTACCTGGTACAAAAAGTTTTACTGCCATTCCCCCTGCTATTACTAAAACTACATATTTTTGTATTGTGCTCTAAAACTTTTCCAAAAGCCTTCCATCTAATAGCTCATTCTACCACTCTCACAAGAAGCAGAAAACCATCATCCTTACTTTTTACAGATTAGGAAGATAAATTGTAGAAGGCGATGATTTTCCTAAACTAGTCAATGAAAGGGTGGGATTAAAATCCGATATCTGTCCTAAAGATCCATGCTATTTCTTGGAGACTTCTCTATATCCTGACCACTGTACATACCAAGAAGCTTGCTGATGAAAGGCTGTGTTTTGAAAGGTTCAAAGTCATCTATGTGTTCCCCTGTACCGATGAAAATAATTGGACTTTTTGTGGCAGCAACACTGCAAAGAAAAAGAAAACAAAAGATAATCTCAAAAAGGCAAACAAATTTCGAGCAGATACCAAAGTAATTAGACAAAAGTACACAGTTCCAAGTTTCTTTTCACTTGTTAAAACAGAACAATATCAGAAAGACTCCAAAATTCTGTTTCTATTTAAACTTCTTTTACAGACCATATTTTGGTCCACTACTGGAATATATCCTATTTTTAAAAAATTTTTTAAGTTGGAGTATATATTAAAATATACTTTAAATGATCAATAAGAAAGCCATAAATACACACACACACACACACACAAACACCATATAAGCCCAAGTCACAGGACAATAGCATTAATGACACTTACGCACTGAGTGCACCACCTCCTTTTGCATGGCCATCAAGTTTTGTCACTATGACTGAGGCTACATCTACTTTATCTTTAAAAGCCTTTGCCTGGGCTTCACAAGCCTGCCCAATGGAGGCATCCATCACATAAACAATGTTATCAGGTTGCTAGAAAATTTAAAGAAAGATACGTATTTTTACCGCTCTTAAGCAAATGTCATCATTAGAAGCTACACAAAAACACTTCTTATAAATAATTATTCATTAAATTAATAAATATTAATTGAGGGAATACTGTACTATGTATTAGGCACCATTTAGGTCCTGAGACTAAGAGATAAACAAGAAAAATCCTTGTCCTTGTGAGACTTATATTCTAGTCAGAAGACACAGATAATAAATGGGCAAGTCAACATTTCAGATGTACAACAATGAAAATGGGATAGAGAGTATCAGTTTTGAGGTGTGGGAGACTTCTTTAGGTAGGGCAGCCAGCAGGGATCTCTCCGGAGATAACATCTGAGATGAGGCCAGAATAAAGAGGGAAAAAGTTATGCAAAGATCTGGAGGAATCACATTCTAGGCAAAGGGAATACTAAAAGTAAGAGGAAAAAAGTAGAAAAGTGTGCACTAAAACCAAAATGAGTGAAACACGTGAGGTTATTTCCCTTAGTTCGGCTCAACTAGGTTAACATAATGGCACGGTTAAAAAGAAACTTGTTGGCATTAACCATTAGCCAAAGAATTACTGCCAACTTCTCAACAGCAAAACATGGGTTCATGGGCAAAATACATTCTACAGATGTATTTTGTACACCTAAGTTATTTCCATCACAGTTTTAAAGAGACTAAACGATCATTAACATTTTTAAATGCTTCATTTTGAAAATCTTTCAAAATTTGTCTGAAGTAAATGTCCCAATTTAATTTAAATAATTTATAGTAAGAAAAGTCAATAAAGGGGTGCCTAGGTGGCTCAGTCGGTTAAGCGTCTGCCTTCAGCTCAGGTCGCGGTCCCAGGGTCCTGGGATAGGTCCTCACGTTGGGCTCCCTGCTCAGCAGGAGTCTGTTTCTCCCTCTCCTTCTGCCTCTGACCCCGATTATGCTGTCCCTCTCTCTTTCTCTCTCTCTCAAATAAATAAATAAAATCCGGGACGTCTGGGTGGCTCAGTGGGTTAGAGCCTCTGCCTTTGGCTCAGGTCATGATCCCAGGGTTCTGGAATCCAGCCCCACATCAGGCTCTCTGCTCGGTGGGGAGCCTGCTTCCCTTCCTCTCTCTCTGCCTGCCTCTCTGCCTATTTGTGATCTCTGTCTGTCGGATAAATAAATAAGATCTTTTAAATAAATAAATAAATAAATTTTAAAAATCTTAAAAAAAAGAAAAATTCAGTAGATGGGGTGCCTGGGTGGCTTAGAACCTTCAGCTCAGGTCATGATCCTGGAGTCCTGGGATTAAGCCCCATGTCAGGCTCCCTTAGACAGGAGTCTGCTTCTCCCTTTTCTTCTACCTCTCCCCCTGCTCCTTCTCTCTCTCATTTCCTCTCTCTCTCAAATAAATAAAATTAAAAAAAAAAACAGAGAGAGAGAGACTGTCCTAGTAACAGAGGCTATAAAGCTGAATAAAGCATTCTTAAAAAAAAATTTCAACAGATATTAAAGGTCAATTCTCAATTTTTGTTTCTTGTTTTTCTTATATATACAATAAGATGATTGACAAAGGACAATTTTTTTGATACATACTCAGGAAAATTTCATATCTAGTGTAGAGAAGATTAAGTCCTTACCATACAGATACACACACCGAACACAGAAATAAATTACTTGGAATCTACTGTACAAACAAAAAATAATTTATATGGATCTTAAACTCAATCAGGGGTTATAATTAAATTAACCAAATCCTTACAGTGTTGTTAAACTCAAAGTTATGGGCACCTGGGTGGCTCAGTGGGTTAAATTCAAAGTTACTTACTATAGCATTAGCAACTTGAAGCATTTCTTCAAACAAAGAGTCTTCCTGTTTATGGCGACCACTTGTATCAACAATAATAATTTCAAAATTTTCATTTTTGAATTTCTCCACTCCTTCAGAGGCAATGATAACAGGATCCATTTCTGTATAGCTATTTAACAAGGAAAAGTGATTTAATGACAACTGCAGAACAAAACTTTCAAATATTAATAATTTGGCAATTGTTGGTATACCTTTATTCAGAAAAAGTCATAATGATCACAATTTCAATTTAGAAGTATAAAATCTAATAAATATTAAAAACAGCAAACAAAGCAATAAAAAATAAAAATAAAGATAGCAAACCACTCCTAGAGGAGCATAGAGCAATCATTTTCCAATTACAAAATTCTATGTGATTCTGCTGCATGTCTTATCTTGAATGGGTTGTGCTTCCCTCTAATACTTTTTATATTTCCTTTAATAAGTGATTATTTTACATATGCTTTCCCATTTAACACCCTTTTGTAAGCATTTTATAAAACCATTAAATATTCCAGAGTGCCTGGGTGGTTCAGTTGTTAAGCGTCCGCCTTCGGCTCAGGTCATGATCCCAGAGTCCTGGGATCGAGCCCCACATTGGGCTCCCTGCTTGGCAGGGAACCTGCTTCTCCCTCTCCCACGGCCCCTACTTGTGTTACCCCTCTCACTCTCTCTCTCTGTCAAATAAATAAATAAAATCTTTTTAAAAGAACATTAAATATTCTTGTAAAACATGACTTTTAGGCTGTATAACATTCTATCATATGGTTATACTATCATTTATTAAATAAATGCCCTACTGTTGGTCATTTGAAATATTTCCAATTTCTTAGTATTAAAAATATAGCCAATATATAAAGAGATCATAATGCTGTTTCTTTGAAATTGTTATGACATACTCTTACACCTTGAATTTGAATCAAATGATCTGATAATTGAGGCATTTGATTTCTTTTTTGTTAAATTTGATGGGAGTTCTGTGGGCTTCCAGGATTTGGAAGTCTGTTTCCTTCCCCAGGTTAGAAAAGTTTTCAGCTATTATTTCCTACAACCAATAATCTGCCCCCGTTTCTCTCTCTTCTTCTGGGACTCCTACAATATGAATGTTATTACATTTAATGGGTACGCTTTTGGTTTCTAAAAGGAAAATGTCTTCCATAGAAGTTTAATTTCATTCCTAATATAACCACAGTCCTGATATAACCACATTTTCACAATCCTCAAATATCTTTTCTACCTGAAAATCAAGAAACAAGATCCCATTTTAATCTGTACCGTTTTCAGAAGGAACAACTTTTTACACAGATCAATACTGTCAAATGAAAAGACATAGGTTAAAAAAAAGTTTTCCCCCTACATTAACAATAAAAAATCAGGTAGGAAGGCATTTAATAAGAAAATATGTGAGTTTTAAATGAAGAAAATTACTATATTTAAGGACATAAATTTTTAAAGCAAAAATGACATAGAAAGTTCTCAAACTCAACAGAACAAATATAGTAAAGGTGTCAGCTCTCCACTAAGTTAATTGGTTTCAATGTAGTTCCAATCAAACTTTAGGGAGATTTTTGAACTTAATGAGGAATTTAAAATTTAATCTAGGAAAATAAACAGGTGAGAATGTTGAAAAAAAAAAGAGAGATTACCATTACCAGCTACTTTTAAATGGCAAAAACAATTAAAATTTATAAATGTACAAAGAAACATATCACATACAAGTATACAATGGAACTGCAATCATGTCATAAAAAAGAATTACCTTAAACAGTATATGGTCTATTCCAGAATTATTAAGATCCCATTTTTTTAATAAATGTGTTAACGAAGTATAATACATTTATATTGAAAAGTTGCACAAACTGTAAACTCAGTGAATTTTCACAAAGCAAACACACCCAGATCAAGAAACAACAGAACCAGCACCACACTCCCTCCCAAGAGTAATCACAATCTTGTCAATAAGATCCCATTTGTAATCAACTCTATAGTAGTCTACTGATACACAGTAAGACACACCATTTTAAGTGTTCATTTTGATGAGTTTTGACAAATTTACATATAACCATTATCACAACAAAGTACAAAAGCAGTACAGACACCATTTCAACTTAAAATTATCTAACTATATCTGTGTATTCATTTGTACTAACATTGAAAAACAGCACAAGGGGGCCCCTGGCTGGCTCAGTGGGTTAAAGCCTCTGCCTTCAGCCCAGGTCATGATCCTAGGGTCCTGGGATCAAGACCCGCCTCAGGCTCTCTGCTCAGCAGAGAGACCCTCTCTCTGCCTGCCTCTCTGTCTACTTGTGATCTCTGTCTGTCAAATAAATAAATAAAATCTTAAAAAAAAAAAAAAAAAGAAAAACAGCACAAGTGGACGTGCTAAAAACTGGGAAGTGAAACTGTTAGTGCTTTCACTTCTTCAAAAATTTTAAGCAATATAGATTTTTAAAAAAATACAGAACAAATGATAATATAACAAACAGTTCTGTATATATCCCCCCCAAAATAGATGCTTAATATGTAAACTGAACAGCAGAGATGCAGTTCAAATTCTTCCGGAGTCCCACGCCCTTCAGTCCTCCCAGAGGAAACAACGATCACTAATACTTTACTCCATATGTGTATTATGTTTCTTAAATTTACATGAGCAAAGGAGAAATTATTTAATTAATGGTATGGAGAATACTGTTTAAAAATGCTCTGGCTTTGGCCAATAGTTAATTATCAGCTAAATTATTTACAAATTTTGAACCCTAAGGATATAACTATTTATTATCCCTTGATACTTTCTTATCGCTTGATTTTTAAATCTATTATTAGAAATAGTTCTTATGGGACGCCTGGGTGGCTCAGTGGGTTAAAGCCGCTGCCTTTGGCTCGGGTCATGATCCCAGGGTCCCGGGATCGAGTCCCGTATCGGGCTCCTTGCTCAGCAGGGAGCCTGCCTCTCTCTCCGCCTCTGCCTGCCTCTCTGCCTGCTTGTGTGCTTTCTCTCTCTCTCTTTCTGATAAATAAATTAATAAATAAATAAAATCTTTAAAAAAAAAAAAAGAAATAGTTCTTATCCTAAAAATAAAATTCCTAACATTATTCTCTAATCTACCTATTAGAAATCATAAAACCTGAGAGAAAAAAAATTTTATTTATTTATTTTTTTTTTTAAAGATTTTATCCATTTATTTGAAACAGAGAGAGAGAGATCACAAGTAGGCAGAGAGGCAGGCATAGAGAGAGAGGAGAAAGCAGGCTCCCCGCCGAGCAGAGAGCCCGATGCGGGCCTCGATCCCAGGACCCTGAGATCATGACCTGAGCCGAAGGCAGAGGCTTCACCCTGAGCCACCCAGGCGCCCGAGAAAAAAAATTTTAAATAAAGAACATAGGATAAGCCAAAGTTCATTAGCATTTCTGGCTAGCCAAAAAGGAGAGGGCAATGACTAACAAAATGGTATCATTCATTAAATTACCTCCAATTTTAGCATGTTTTAACTTTCTAAGAAGCCAATTATATGAATAACGTTAAGAAAAATGCTACCCCCTGAAAAAGTCCTAAATTCAATCTAGACTTAATTCTTTTCATTAATCATTCTAACATGTATAAACTCGTAACTGAACTACTCTATCAAATGAAAGACTGCAATGATGAGACTCTCTCTCTGAGATAATTATAAATTCTAAGCTATTTTAGGATGATCAAACACAAGCTTTTTAAAATTATGTACTAAAGAAAAGACAGAATTCCCCAGTGTGTTTAATCCAGGAATACTTCAGATAGGTCTTAAAAAAAACAGTAGGAATAGGGAACCAAGTGAGAAAGCATACAAGGCAGGATGGTAAGTACAGGCAGATTGTAAACTAAACAATGTCCACTTTGATCTATCAGGCTGGATCAGAACAGTCATGTTATCATAATAAAAGATAACAATTTACTAATTATATCCCCACTTTGTTCTAAGAAGATCAAAACTTTTTTTTAAAGATTTTTATTTATTTATTTGACAGAGAGAGAGATCACAAGCAGGCAGAGAGGCAGGCAGAGAGAGAGAGGGGGAAGCAGGCTCCCCACTGAGCAGAGAGCCCGATGCGGGGCTTGATCCCAGGACCCTGAGACCATGACCTGAGCTGAAGACAGAAGCTTAACCCACTGAGCCACCCAGGTGCCCCAAAGATTCAAACTTCTAAGTAAATATTAAAATGTGACCAGGCAGCATAAAATAAAAGCTCAGACAAGATGAGACACATGAGGGAGTAACAAAATAAAAACCAGAACCCACCTTCCATAGAATGGAATTCTTGCTTTGGTAGCATTCTGTTTTAGTTGGTCAAAAGCACCTATAAGATAAAGAGTTAATGAGTCCTAAAACTTGAAAATAAAAATTTCAGAGAACAGTCTTCAAATTTCAACACATTACCTGCTCTGAATGTGTCTGCACATATCAAACAGGTCTTCCAACCTTTCCTCTGGTAATAATATGCTAACTGGGAAAAGAACATTTAAAAAATAGAGTATCAATAACAATGAATTATTATACACACAATTTTTTCTGTTTACTCTTGTTATTTAAAGATTAAAGTAAAACTCCTCATATTCTCCTGAAAGTAATATTATTACATTAAGTTTTTGTTTGAAATTCCAGTCAGTTAACATACAGTGTAATATTGGTTTCAGGGGTACAATATAGTGATTCCACGTGTCCATACAGTACCTGGTGCTCATCATAGCAAGTGCACTCCTTAATCCCCATCACCTGTGTCACCCATCCCCCACCCACCTCCCCTCTGGTAACCAGCAGTTTGCTCTCTATAATTAAGGGTCTGTTTCTTGGTTTGTGTCTCTCTCTCTTTTCTACCCCCTTTGTTTGTTTCGTTTTTTAAATTCCACATATGAGGGGCACCTAGGTGGCTCAGTCAGTTAAGCATCTGCCTTCAGTTCAGGTCAGGATTCCAGGGTCCTGGGATCTAGCCCCATATTGGGCTCCCTGCTTGGTGGGAAGTCTGCTTCTCCCTCTCCCACTCCCCCTGCTTGTGTTCCTTCTCTCACTGTGTCTCCCTGTCAAAAAAAATAAAAAATAAAAAATCTTTAAAAAAAATTAATAAATTCCACATATGAGTGAAATCACATGGTATTTGTCTTTCTCTGACTTATTTCACTTAGCATAATATTCCATCCATGTCATAGCAAATGGCAAGATTTTATTCTTTTTATGGCTGAATAATATTCCATTGTGTGTCTGTGTGTGTCACACACAGGCAGAGCCTGACACGGGGCTCAATCTCATGACCCTGAGATCATGACCTGAGCAGAAATCCAGAGTTGGACACTCAACCAACTGAGCCACCCAGGTGCCCCTATTATTACATTATTGAATACAGCAAATTTGCTAACAAGTTTAAATTCTAACTGCCATCCAGTAACATTCAAAGGATATAAAATGATCAAGCAATACATGACCATATTGAAAAATGTTACTATTAATGTTAATTAATAAAAACAAACAATAACATAACCCTCTAAGAAATAATCCCTTTCTCTTTTTTCTAGACTATAACATAACTGAGGCTTGTGAAACAAAATCTGGTAACAAACCTGAGGCACCCAATTCTGGAGAAAGAGGTGGTATAATGAATTAAAAATTAGTAGAAGGATATGTAAAATGAAGATCTAGATTATGCTGGGTGAGACACTGTACAAAGGGAGCCTTGAACCATGGGAAATAAGGTAAACTTTCCATGTTCTCTTCTCCAAAAATTATATCCTCACTTCCTTAAAGGGTAGGCCAGTCTCTTTGGTAAAAGAAACAGCATAGTTATAGAAAAGTCTTCCATTCTTAAAAAAACAACCACAAACGAGATTCTGGGATTCCTTCTTATTGTAAAAAAAGCTATTACAAAAATGTAATAATATACTGAGTAACAGAAAATTGTAAAGCAACAATATTAGCCTGGTTTTAACATAAAACTTGATTTATACAAACATCTCTTCTCCATGACTCTTTTTTAAGACTAAGTATAATTTACCTTTGAACACGTTGTTGTTTTACCACTCCCTTGCAATCCAACAAACATGATCACATTCTGTTTTCCTTTAGTGGGTGTCCATGCTTTAACTCCAGGGTCTACAAGCTGGGTATCAAAAATAAAATTAAAATAAAATCAGGTTAACATATGCTTATGTTCAAAACCCCTCTCTCCACAAATTCTAAATTGTAAAAATAATTTAAAGACATTTTAGTATAAGAGGCAACAATAATCCTACCATTCTAATACAAATTTACTATTTCCCTTTGTACACACATAGTGAAATTTAAGAATATAAAATAATTCACTGCAAAGTCATAAGCAAACCTATTCTCCCAAATCAATTCAGAGAAAGGATCTCAAGACATTTTTTTTTTAGAATAAGCTGGAATGTGAACAGTGAGACCAAGTTTGAGCCAAAGGAGCAATATGCATCAGCAGTACAGAAATATAAAAATCTATGTGCAGGCTGCATATGAACTTTTAAATTGCTAGTAATGACATTAAAGAAAATGAAAATAAGTGATAATAATTTTAATACTTTATTTAGTCCAATATATTAAAATGCTATCATTTCAACACATAATCTACATTTAAAAATTAATGATATATATTATATTCCTTTTCCCCATACGAGGTCTTCAAATTTGGCATCTTTTTCATACTTATAGCACATCTCAATGTGGACTAACTACATTACAAGTGCTCAGTAACTACACGGGGCTAGTCGCTGCCATATTGGGACACCTATCTTCATGTTCAGTTTAATAAATGTTTATGTATGAGCAAAATTACAAATTGCATGTGAAAGATTTTCCAGGTCAGTCAGATGTCAAATTTTCCAATGCCAAAGACCTACTGTTCTATGAAGTTGTTATATTTAGAGAGCCAGTAAAAAATAATCGCCAATTTCATGAGTCAGTGGGAAACTAAGGTTTGCATATGGACAGCCCCCAAATGATATACATGAGTTCATTTAAAAAAACAATTCCTTTGCAAGTCAGTTGTTGAGAGCTGGAAGCATGTATCTCCACATCATAATAAAGCCATAACTGCAGATAATGCCCTAGATCAGAGACTGGCAAACTATGTGTGAGTAAAGTTTTTATGGAACATCGCCATGCCCATTCATTTACTGCTTTTGTGCTACAGCAGCAGAGTGGGATAGCTGCAACAGAAATCATATGGCCCACAAAGCCTAAACTATCTAGTCCTTAAGAAAAAGTTTGCAAAACCCATGTGAGACAATACCATAAGGTCACACGGTCTGTATTATACCTGAATTTCAAGGAAAGCCATGTGGTAGCAAAGGCAGGAAAAGAGAACACATTTTGTTATCTCTTTCCCAGGCACAGGCCTAGCTTTAAGGAAACTTCTGAAATAGGCACAATCGATCTTAAACATATTCACTCTCCTTCCCTCTAGATCCTTTCAGATACTCACACTACCCTACATTCACCTCCGGTCTCCGTATCTCACAGCAGAAGCACCCAGCTCTCTATGAATCTATATTTGGAACATATGTGTTTTAGTGACTAATTATTTTCTAAATCTAACTTCTATTCCTCCTGCACCCTAAAACAGCAGTACTTTTCAGTCTCAGGATTCCTTTATAATTATAGTAGTTTTTTAAAGTTAGTTGCAATGTAGAATCTGAAACCATATAAACTCCACACTCCATTCCATTAAAATCTGTTATTCTATCTTGCACTTTGAATGCAACTTTGAATGCAACTTTGAATGCAACTGGTGCATGATTTTATAACATCATATATTAGTCATTGACAAATTTCATTACACAACAAGAAAATTTATTATATCAATACTGATCGCATCAGAAATGTACTGGGATCCCGTCAAACTCATGGTGGAGATACAAGTTTCTAGTTTTCTTTTTTTTTTTTTTTTTTAAGATTTTATTTATTTATTTGACAGAGAGAGATCACAAGTAGGCAGAGAGGCAGGCGGTGGTGGGGAGGGGAGGCAGGCTCCTTGCTGAGCAGAGAGCCTGATACGGGGCTCGATCCCAGGACCCTGAGATCATGACCTGAGCCGAAGGCAGAGGCTTAACCCACTGAGCCACCCAGATGCCCCCAAGTTTCTAGTTTTCACTGGAAAGCTCAAATTTTTTCACTGGCCACAATATAGTTATTTATTTGCCTTAAAGTGACAGGCTCACTTTACTTGAAAATCTTATTCAAGTCTGAATTACTACAGATTATCTGTCTGTTGTTTGTTCACGTAACAACGGTGTTTTATGAAAGCAGCAGCTAGCTCAGCTTGCACTCAAATAATCACACGTGTCTCTTCCTCAAAACCACCATCAAATTTCAGTATGCAGCAAAAAAGCTTTCTATGTACTTCCCATTTCATGCCACAAAATTGTACAAAGATGTATATACTCAGAGGTTAAGATTTAATACAACTAATAACTTCTACTGTTCCATCAAGGGCATTCTTTTTTTTAGGGGTACAGTCTGTGATATCAAGAGCATTCTTAAGTAAAACAGCTTCACACCCCTCCCACAACAAGTGTGTAGTAGTAAAAAGTATAATGACTACTAGTATAGTTTGGTACTCCGGCCTTAATTCATGCTAGGGAATTTTACCCACCATTGCTTTTGAACTACTGGCACAAATATCAAACAATACAAAAGGCAAATAATGTCTTAGTATTGTTATGAAAAGTTTTGACCTTGTTTTGCACATCACTGCTCTAGACCATATGCTTCTGAGTATAGAGACCAGTCTAATTTATCTCTATCAGCAGCATCTGACATATTGCCGAGAATAAAGAAGGTACTTAAAAAATGCTTCTTAACAAAGCAGTTAATGCACCAGCATTGCCTACAGATGCCAAACCCTAAAAATAGAAATTTTCACAAACCCCGCACTGACCTCGGGGCTAGATGAAAAGCAAACTGGAAATAAAATGAGGAGTCCTACAAGGAGTTTGGCGATCAGACCTGTGTCAGCCACTTACTAAGTGTCTCATTTTTCTCAACTGCAAACTGCTAAGTATGACTGGATAAAGTCTCTGACCTCTTTAAGGTCTGATTTTCTTTTTTTTATTAAATAGTCTATAAGACTACATGAAATGATACAACCATCTGAGATACTAGACTTTTTCTGAGTATCAATCAATCAGCTCTGCTGAAACCAAAGGAGTAAATGAAACTACTGGAAAATGAAAAAATAAATGGAAAAATACTGGAAGACCACTAGCAGACATCTGTTCCTCTAAAAAAATTTTTTTTCAGTTATTTCCTTTTTTTCCCCCCTACCACTGGACCCATACATATTTTTTTAATGCTCTAAGATTTTCACCATAATTTTCATGACTACAGCAGCAATATCAGTTCTAAGGTGATACCAGGCCATAGGCTGTATTTACTACTTGCAAAATAAAATTTCACTAATTGCTCATAATGTAGACAAGAGTTGGGATATCTGATCTTTTCAAGGGGAATTCTGGACACAATAAACTGTTCAGAAAAGAACACTTGTCAAGAGTGACTTTTCGTACAAAAGTAGGACCTTCAATAGGCAGAATCTGATATTAAAAAGGATATAAACTCAGGAGAGGCCCTTCTATCAATTTATCTGTAGTGAAGTTCTACCTTTCGTAACCCAGCTTTGGGAATTTTTACAGGAACAGTACTGGCCTTTCATATCTATACTCAGAACTTTGTATTCAGAAAACTCTATAATAAAAATAGGCCCCTTTAGAAAAGTTAATAATCCTTCAATTAATATTTTTAATAGAGGAATATTCTATAAAAACATTATAAAATATTCTGAAACAGTACTCCTATTTGTGGTGCTAATGTATTTTTACCCACTGGAGTCCGTGGAGAATCATATAGCACAATCCTGATACTTTTACCTTCACAAGTTCTTTAAATACAGCATGCTGAATCATTTTTCTTTTGTTAAGACCAGATGCCATCTCTTCAAGATCAATAGCAGACCTTCATGATGATGGTTTTTGTGGGGAGGAGAGAGAAAAGCCAGATAAGACACTCTGAAAAAAAGTTTCTGCTCCAAAAAAAGGTAAAAATATTCAATCATTCACATTAATAGTCTTCTGATTAATGTGTAAAATTACTACAGATTCTTAAGTCTATGGAAGAATTTACCATGAAATATTAGACATAAGACCATGGTTAGTTTTTCAAGGCTTTCTTTTGAAAGTCAAAATACCAATTTGTCCTCATATCACTGCAAAGTAATTTTATTTTTACAGCATATATACTTTATAAATCTTCACACATAGCAGAGAATAGGATTATTTTCTCTAGTTCTAAATACTTAAATGCCAGTAGTTCTACATTTATTACCCAGACTAACAATACGAAAAGGAGAAATGGCCTGAACATGACAAGGGCTAGGAGTCCAACAGTTAATTGAGGTGCCTATATTATTCTATATGGCCTGCCCCAGTCAGTGCCTCTCCCAAAGAACACAGTAACCGAGACGACACGTATTACTCCTTCATTCAAATACAGGCAGGAAAACCAAGAGAACAAGAATGAATACAATTCTCCAACAATGAAGGAGGCTGATTAATGTCATCTTAAGCCTGAAGAGGATAAAATGGCACCACTTTTCTATGAAGAATTGTTAAAAGGCTTTTATATTAAAATACTATATTGCATAAGATTGAATCCATCCAAATAAAGGAGTAGTAAAATGGAAAGAAATCCATAATTAAATGAAAGCCACATGTAGTTTATTCTTTGAAACATCATTATGGAAACACACTATCAAAGCAGTCTTGCAACATATGAGTTCTGTTCTTTTCAAATGCTGAACGGCAGAAATGTTTCATGATATAGCAGACTTTTCTAGTTAGCTCTTCATCCCAGTAAACTAAATTTAGTTTGCCTGGTTTTTACCTGATTAATTTAACTTACTTTACATTTTCTCTTAGTTGCTTCACTAGTTTAATATTAACATCTGCTTCCAATAATGCTGTACATACTTCTTTGAGCATAGCATTTAATACCTGCAAATAAAAAATACATTAAAATTTAGCACTCCTAGTGTGTCATTTCAAGCACATAAAAACAACGGCTGATTGGTCATCATATACTACCATAGCTTAATAAAAACAATACTACACTGTTAGAGAAAAAAAAAAATGTTCTCAATTAGCCTCAGAGAGGTAATCTTAGCAAATGTCTAATCATTTTGTCAAAATAAGATATTCCATTTAGTTGAAATCTTGCCATTTGCAATGATGTGGATGGAACTACAGGGTATTACGCTAAGCGAAATAAGTTAATCAGAGAAAGATAATTATCACATGATCTCACTGATAACACAGAATTTAAGAGAAAAGGCAGAGGATCATGGGGAAGAAGGAAAAATGAAACAAGATGAAACCAGAGAGGGAGACAAACCATAAGATACTCTTAATGATAGGAAACAAACTGAGGGTTGCCAAGTGGGAGGGGATGGGGCGACTGGGTGATGGACACTGGGGAGGGTATGCATTGTGGTTGAGCTCTGGGTGTTGTGTAAGACTGATGAATCACAGACCTGTACCTCTGAAACACATAATGTATTATATGTTAATTTTTTTAAAAAGATATTCCATTTAGCTTTATTCAACCAAGTATTGTCACAATTTTATTCCTATATTAAAGTAACAATAGTAAAGACAATATGCAAGCCTAAGAAAGTTACTATGCAATCCATGTATGCCTTCTGTTGCTGATACACAGCACTTTATATTCACAATATCTGCTTAACTGAACTAGTAAGAGGAAAATGCAACAGAAGAAACTGACCCAGTCTGACCTAGCAGTCTTACTATGTCCACTCACAGCAGAGGAACAAAGTTGAAAAGAAAACTATCCTCCATTAATAACTCACTATCATTACATATTTGCTGAGTTACAAGGTGCTGTGGTTAAAAGGTCTTAACTATAAAGTCTTAAAAAAAGATGAGGTTTTTGTTGCTTAGGTAAATTAGGGTTTACACAGTAACCTGTGTGCTCCATGAGGGCAGGGATTTTAGTCTGTTTGTCACTGCTATATCCCTGGCGCCAGCAAAAAGTCCGCAAAAACGCAGGCCCTGGGGTACCGTCGGCTGACTCAGTCAGTTACAGCATGTGACTCCTGATCTCGGGGTTATGAGTTCGAGCCCCACAATGGGTGTAGAGATTAACTCAAAACTAAAATCTTTTGATTTTTTGATTTAAAAAAAATTTTTTATTAACATGTAATGTATTATTTGCCCCAGGGGTACAGGTCTGTGAATCATCAGGCTTACACATTTCACAGCACTCACCATAGCACATACCCTCCCCAATGTCCATAACCCAGCCATCCTATCCCTCCCCACTGACCCACCAGCAACCCTCAGTTTGTTTTGCGAGATTAAGAGTCTCTTATGGTTTGTCTCCCTCCCCATCCCATATTGTTTCATTTTTTCCCCTCCCTACCCCCCAAGACCTCCCCACCCTACCTCTCAAACTCCTCATATCAGAGAGATCACATGATAATTGTCTTTCTCTGATTGACTTATTTCACTTAGCATAATACCCTCTAGTTCCATCCACGCCATTGCAAATGGCAAGATTTCATTTCTCTTGATGGCTGCATAGCTTTTTTTTTTTTTTTTTAAGATTTTATTTATTTGAGAGAAAGAGAGAGAAACCACAGGCAGGAAGAGGGGCAGAGGGAGAGGGAGAAGCAGACTCTTGGCTAAGCAGGGAGCCCGATGACATGGGGCTCGATCCCAGAACCCCGGGATCATGACCTGAGTTGAAGGCAGATGCTTAACCGAGCCACCCAGGTGCCTCAAAAATAAAATCTTAAAAAATAAAATGGACCCTGGAATATTTCTTGAATAATTCCCACCTCAACTCACTTCATACATCCTACAGAGGCTCATCAGATCCATCTCTTATTAATGGAGTCTTATAAAAATGGAACTGATCTTTCATTAGAGAGATCTTCCATTAGAGAGATTCTGTTCATTCCCTAGCAGCACAGTACTAAGAGCAGAGAAGTTGCCAATACAAGCAACAGCTGTTACTATACTTCCCACCAAGCTCTTCTCCCTGGTTTCTTTTTTCTCTACTAGAAACTTAAACAGCATAAGGGTTACACAACAGGGAAAACTGTTTGGAAGGCTGCTGTTTTATTTATTCTGAATGCCAAAGACTGCACAATGGTTTAAATTATGATTTATCATTTAATAATATATTAGAAAAAACCCTGGATGACGAATTAGAAAAAAGATACTAATCCTGGCTTTTTGGAAAATAAAGATGTGGAACTGACTTCCTGTTGCTGTTAACTGAGAGCTGGACTAGCTGAACTCAAAGATGGTTCCAAAATTATTTAATACCATTAACTTATTAAGGTATTGATAGCAAATTCTACATTAGATTTTTTTTTCAGTGAGCACTGAGTAAGGTACAGAACTAGTCAATGACTGTATTGTATACCTGAAACTAATATAGCACAGTATATTAACTACACTAGAATAAAAGTTTTTTTTAGTTCAAAAAAAAATTTTTTTTCCAAACCTCCAAGTTAGAAAGCACTTTTTTTTCCTTAAAGAGAGGGAGAGAGAGGAACAGTGAGGGGCAGAGGGAGAGAGAGATTCCCAACAAGGCCCCATGCCCAGCACAGAGCCTAAGGTGGGGCTCAGTCTCACAAACCCAACATCATTACCTGAGCTGAAATCAAGGGTCAGATGCTTAACTGACTGAGCCACGAGGTGCCCCTAGAAAATACTTTTTTAATCTATTATTTAATTAGATCCTTAAAAGCACCTTGTAAGGTAAATGCTGTTTTCTCATTTTATACATTAAGGAATCTGAAGCTAACTTGCCCAGATTTCTATCACAAGCTACTAAGCAGGTGGCTAACGAGGTCTTCTAAAACCAAATTCAGTACTGTCCCATTGGTACCACAAAATATAAAGTATACTTGGGGACTCTCATCTTCTTCAATTGACAAATCATTAAGATACAAGGTATGGGGGGGGTAATTTTTTTTTTTTTTTTTGGTGGGCAGTAAAAGGTTTAATGAGCAGTAGCAAAGCAATGGTACAAAGCTCCTGAGGAGGGAAGGGACCCAAGAGGGTTGCCTGAAAAAGAAATATTTAAAACTGAAAACAAGAGCGCCAGGAGGAAGAGTACTTCAGATAGCATATAAGGAGTCAGCTTACAAAAACTAAAGAACAAAAACAAACAAAAGCAAAAAAACTGAACGAGGATTTCAGAGAAAATCAAAGTAGACAACGTGAAAATACCAGCCTTCTATGAGAAAGCTGAATAAAAGTAGAAAAAGATGAGATGCGCACATGCCTACCCAAGAAGAAAGAAAGAAGCAGGACGCTGAAGTTTCGGGTCTATGTCTCCAGATCTAAGCCTTTTTTACTTTTTTTTAAGATTTTATTTATTTATTTGAGAGAGAGAGATCACAAGTAGGCAGAGAGGCAGGCAGAGGGAGAGAGGGGGAAGCAGGTTTCCTGCTGAGCAGAGAGCCCGATGCGGGGCTCGATCCCAGGACCCTGAGATCATGACCTGAGCCGAAAGCAGAGGCTTAACCCACTAAGCCACCCAGGCACCCTCTAAGCCATTTTCAAAACAAAAAATGTATGCCATTTTTACATGTTAGTTAAGATTTGGGGGGTTTCTGTTTCCTTTTTTTTTTTTCTTTTTTTTTTTTTTTTTAAGATTTTATTTATTTGACAGAGAGAGATCACAAGTAGGCAGAGAGGCAGGCAGAGAGAGAGATAGAGGAGGAAGCAGGCTCTCCGCTGAGCAGAGAGCCCAACACGGGACTCGATCCCAGGACCCTGAGATCATGACCTGACCCGAAGGCAGAGGCTTAACCCACTGAGCCACCCAGGCGCCCCAACTTTTTTTATAATTCTTTATAGAAAGTAAAATAGTAAGATAGTCAACTCAATAAAAAACATCATATAGTGTATCCAACTTTAAATTTTTATCTACAGTTATTAAATCTACATCAAAACAAATATAAACGTAAAGATTAATAATAATTCATGTCCCGATGCTAGTAATGATGTGCAATCATATATATTTCACACATTTTACATACCTCTTCATTGATAATGGTGGCATTGCTCAATGAGCGTAATGCTGATGTTATTTTTCTTCCAAGGTCTGCTAGTACCATCTTGAAGGCTTTAAGATGTGATTACAAGAAAATCTAAGGAAAAACATTAAATAAAAACATTTGAAAAATAATCAATACCAGTTTTCATAATTGGAAGACTTCTGAAGAGTATTTAATTAAAATTAAACTATTATAATGTTTAGATACTATAACTTCAACTTCTATAGCCTCAATCTGCAGCCTCAATATACGTATGTCCAAAAGCTAAGGCTACTCATTGATTATGATGACTTGAGTTTAAATACCTAATTAGAATATCCTATACAAATCAGCAAATTCAATATTCAGATAAAATGCTTTGAGGCAATAATGATACAATCTCAAATGCAAACATCTATGTGAAGATGGACATTTTGGACATACATGTGAATATGAATAAGAGAAGAAAAAAGGTGAAATCTCCACCCAGAAATATTGTCCAATTTACCACATTAAAGAACTCTGTAAACTATATTGATTCATGCTCTAAGCCAAAGGAAAAAAAAAAGTTTTAATTAATAAGACACTTCACTTTTCACACACATTACATTAGCTCATCTTATTCTTCTAACACCCAAAGAAAGGGGTATATTACTGACTTTCCTATTTTAAAGCTGTTCTTGATTCCCCAACTCTAAAACAAGATAACCTCAAAGGCCCTTCCAGCTCTAAAATGCCATGGTTTTAGAAAGTATACAGTTGCACCTACCACATTTAAGTCCTTATACCATGCAAGGACTCATGGGTGGTAAGCAAGCAAATAGGACAGGTAGTCCCTGGCTTCAAGGTGCTTATCTACTAACAGGCAAGACAAGACACAGGAATGTGCAGCAAATAAATATAAAGAGAATTCCTCTTGCCTGACTGCCTTCAAACTGGGATATCGGTTTCCATCAGATTCACATGAAACACCAGCTCTTCCTGGGTCTCAAGCCTGCCAGCCTTCGAAATGAACTACACCACTCACTCAGCTCTCTCCTGGGTCTCCAACTTGCCAAGCTGGAGGATCTTGGGACTTGTCAGCCTCCATGATCACATAGCCAATTCCTTATAATAAATTTCTTTATACACACACACACACACACACACACACACATCCTATTGTTCTGCTTCTGTGGAGACCCTTGACTAATACCGGTAAAGTACTAGTTCAAAGCTGCAATAAAACTTTATGATCAACTGCCAATGACCATTTCTGTAAAAATTCAAAGAAAGAAAACACAGGCTCAGGTAGATAGAACAAGCTTTACAGAGAAGTTTGAATATGAATCTGATCCTGAAATATAAGCAGGACGTGGATAAGAGAAGAAGACAAAAAAGAATTGGAAGAAGATGATAAGGCATGAGCAGAAACGGAGATATAGAAAAAGCATGGGACATACTATACCTTACATATGCCTTATGAGTGGACTTAAGAGATTACTAAGTATGTATTATTTGGAAGGCAGTAAATAAAATATTCTAGTCAGGACAGTGGTTAGCTAATTAAAAGGAAATACAGGTTGTGAAGAGCCTGAAACCAGGTTAAGAAGTATCAGACATCTGGTAGATGCAAAATCAGCAGAAAAGCTCAGTGTTCAAAACAATGATGTTAGGGGGCGCCTGGGTAGCTCAGTAGGTTAAAGCCTCTGCCTTTGGCTCAGGTCATGATCTCAGGGTCCTGGGATCGAGCCCCACATCAGGCTCTGTGCTCAACGGGGAGCCTGCTTCCCCCTCTCTCTCTGCCAGCCTCTCTGCCTCCTTGTGATCTGTCAAATAAATAAATAAAATCTTAAAAAAAAAAACAAATAACAATGATGTTAGTAACTCTTCCGAGTTAACTAATCTAGTCAACCAAGATAATCAAGACTAGATTTCTATAAAAAGAGTATACAGGAGATTAAAAATGAGAGAAATAGAAAGACTAAATTGCTGACTCATTCAAAATTGAGTAAGAGAAGAGGAGGGGAGTCAAAAGAAGGAGGAAAGGAAATGCACTCAAGGACCTATCATTGGCAAAGAGATGTTCCAGGCTGAGCTCTAAATTAGACACTACACTTCCACTCAGGCAAAACTAGGTAATTTAGAACCTAAAAAATTACTAACAACTTGATGGAATTGAAAAAAAATGTGCTTACCATAAATTGTTTATAGTTACATGGTTACTTCACCTGAAAGACCAATTCCTTCACAGACAAGATCCAGCACTTTTTATTTCTTATCCCATACTCGTTATACTAAATTATTATTGCTTAAGTAAACATTCTTGAGGTAAAAAATAAGAATCAGATGTTTCAGTTCATCTCCTTTGCCACCGTGTTACCCAGAGTGCTATAATCCTCATTATGACACCACAATTTACTATTTTAGAGATCACATCATAAACACAGCATCCTCCATTTTAAAAAGCTATTATTAGTTAACTCTTAAAAATAAGCCTATCTTCCTACATTGATTGATCTTTTAAACTAAAAATACTTCTGTGAAGTTTTCTAATACATTTTTCCTCATGTAAGTACTTATTGGCAGCACATTTTTTGATATATTTGCCTGTTTATAAAAACGTACATTTCCATAAAGGAATAATGATATCTAGTAATACCTTTTATTTATAGGGTATTATCTGTGCAATTTCCAAGGATGTGTTCCTGAAAACTCTGGTATTAGGATTCTCCTCAAAACCTCAATGACTTCCTATTTCACGCAGAGGTAAAGTCCTCAAAATGCAAAATGGACTGTAAGGCACTCCCAAATTCACACACTCCATTTTAATCACATTGATCTCCTTACTGTTGATCCTGCACATTACTACCTCAGGTCCTTTGTACTGGTTGGCATGATCTCCCCCTGGCTGACAAGGGGAAAGACAGCTCCCTGCCTCATCACCTTCAGATTGCTGTCTAGATGCAGTTTCTCTCAATAAGGCCTTCCCTATCACTTGTTTAAATGCACAGTCTCCCTTCCCTTTATTTTTTTCTATTGTCTCATTATCAAATAACATATGATTTACTTATTTTGTTTGTGGCCTGTAATATCCCCCAATTGAAATGTAAGCTTCATGAGGGCAGGGAATTTTGCCTCTTTTGCTCCCTCCTATGAACTCACTGCTTTATGTCTCCTCAGAAGTATATACTGAGCCCTTATTAAAAATGAACTTTATGAATGAATGCATTTAAGACTATAGGAACAAAGCAAGATAGGGAACAAAAGTTATGAAAGGCCTTACAAATATCTTTTTTAAGACCAGTAACATAGAGCCACTCTGGAAAACAGTAAGGAGGTTCCTCAGAAAGTTGAAAATAGAGCTACCCTACGACCCAGCAATTGCACTACTGGGTATTTACCCCAAAGATACAGATGTAGTGATATGAAAGGGCACCTGCACCCCAATGTTTATAGCAGTAATGCCCACAAAAGCCAAACTATGGAAAGAGCTCAGATATCCATTGACAGATGAATGGAAAAAGATGGGGTATATATATTCAATGGAGTATTACACAGCCATTAAAAATTGGAATCTTGCCATCTGTAATGATATGGATGGAACTAAAGGGTATTCTGCTAAGTGAAATAAGTCAATCAGAGAAAGATAATTATCCTATGATCTCACCAATATGTGGAATTTAAGAAACAAGGCAGAGGATCATAAGAGAAGAGAAGAGAGGATGAAATGAAACAAGATGAAACCAGAGAGGGAGACAAACCATAAGAGACTCTTAACTACAGGAAACAAACTGAGGGCTGCTGGGGGTGAGGTGAGGGGGATGGGGTGATTGGGTGATGGACACTGGGGAGGGTATGTGTTGTGGTGAGTGCTGTGAATTGTGTAAGACTGATCAATCACAGACCTGTACCCCTGAAACAAATAATACGATATATATTAAAAAAAAAAAAAATGGAAGAGTTAGAAAAAAAAAGACCACCAATATAAACCAATGAAATCAAAAGAAAGTCAATGACCTAGGTAATTGATATTGTACAATTACAAAAGAAAGTCAATGACCTAGGTAATTGATATTGTACAACTACAAATATCCATTTGCCATTACTTAGTATAACTTTTTAGAATTTCCCTAAAAAAAAAAGGAACTTCTAACAAGATTCTTAAAAATGAGCCTCACCTTGATCTAATATGCATACTAAAATATAGAACATCCTTTTTCATGTTACTAGTCTCTCAATATATCTATACCTATATCTCAAATTGGAGTAATTTACAATTCAAGCACACTCTCTCAAAATTCTCTTTTTCAACTAAAAAGGTTTACGGAAGTAAATCAGTGTATAATAGAATTTCATAAAAGAGGAATCTCTACTTCGATGGGGCTGTTGGAAAAGTTTAAGGGTAAATTACTGTATAGTACTTTATACAGTTTAACATCTATTATCTCATTCCACCCTCACAACAATTTTACGATGTAAGTAGGTTAGAGATTAGAGAATGGTGTTCCCTACAAAAAAAGAAAAAAAAAAAAAAAAGCAAAATGACTTCCCACAGTCCCCTGGCTACACAATCCTAGGTCCTATAGTATGAATGATGCTTTCAAAAACAGGGTTGAATATCCCTGCTGGCAAACTCCAGGACAAATTTTGTTGATACATTACAATGACAGGAAATCATATTTTGAAAGCAAAAATGCACACTCCTCTTCCTGGAAGAATCACTGCAATGTCCAGAAAGAACTGACAATCAGGACCACTGCAATCAGGATGTATAAGGACCGAGCTTTGTCCGAGTCACATGTTCTAACAGGAATCTAAGAGGAGTTGGCTAGTGAGGTGATGGAAATAGGCCCAAGTCTAGGGTGCCCTGATAAGGCAAACACAAGGCCAAGTATCATACTTACCTGCTGCAGTGTGAAGTACTGGAAAGAGCATGGGCTTTGGAGTCTGACAGACTTGGATTCAAATCCCAGCTCTGCTACATACTGGCTGTGTTACTTTGAGTAAGTTACTTAATCTCTCTGAGCCTCACTTTCCTCACCTGCAAAATGGAGATAATACCATTATCAAGGTAGTGACCCTGAAGGGATGTTGTGAGGGTTAAATGACACAATAAGTATAAAACTGTCATCAAGCACCTAGTATATTAACTTCCTGGCTTTCTTGAATGCTACCAACTGGATCTCCCTATCGTACTACCTGAAGTGTAAGTAAACTGGAACGTTTCTTAAACTTTACTAAAGCTCCTGTCCCATTACCTAGAAACCACCCCAGGAATCTTTAGTGCCAATTACACGTACCTATAATTCTATTACTCAACAGGAGCTACAGTGTTCAAACAGCCACTTTCCTCTACATAAACAATTATAAATATTCCTGCCAGAAACTTGCCTGGAGATCATATAAACAGATCCCAATGACTAGATATTTCAAATCCTATCACAATGAAAATCCCTATAAAAAAGTTCTTCTAAGCCCCAGTCAGTGACTAACTTATTGGATCAATATTAGACTAAAAAACTAAATAAATATATTATTAGTAGTAAATACCTTTAGAAAATTCAATTCTACACTATGTACCTTTCCAAAAGCTAGGCAAAAGTCCAAACCAATATTTGCTTTCCTTACTATAATACTAAGTCCATATATATTATATGTGTATATATATAAATATATATATATATTTAAATTCTGTGTAGTATATGTATCATATTCCAGGATAACACAGAAGTAAATTTATCTAACCAGGTGGCCTATATGCATCTTATTTGCTAAAATTATTCTATTTGAATGATAATATAATGTTAATTATGACTTTTAAATGTATGAGTATTTTTTCATTCTGAATCTTAGTCCTCCAAGGAAATAATTCATAATAATTTATGTTTGTGATTACAGGAAGATATGTAATCAGTGTAAAAATTCAAATATTACAGAAATACTGAAGATAGAAATTATAATTCCCCTAATCTTATACCCTCTTGTCCCCCGATAACCAATTTGGTTTATGTTCCTATAGACTTTGTTTTCTATGCATATAATTTAGGCAAGTTTTCATAAGAATTAAGGTTTGGGGAGTGAAAAAGGAAGCAGCAACGAGGGAAATTCTTTTGTAAACAAGCATGCTAATGCTAAAAACATGCTTAAATGCAAAGACAGAATACAAAACTGCATATACTGTATAATCCATTTTTGTCTATAAACAAATATAAAAAAATAACATTAGCCTCCCGGGAAATACAGATCAAAGGCACAACCAGATACTACTTCACACACACACAAATGGCTATAGTCAAAAAGATATAACAAGTGTTAAGGCTGTGGAGAAATCAGAACCCTCATATACTCTGCTGGTGGGAATGTAAAATTGCATATAGCCCTTTGGAAAGTTTGGCAAGTCCTCAAAATGTTAAACACAGAGTTACTGTATATCACCCAGCAATTCCACTCTGAGGTACATCCAAGAGAAAGTAAGACACACATCCACAAATATCCATAAAATGGAATTCCTGATAATAAAAAGGAATGAAGCACTGATACATGTTACACCATGAATACTGAAAACATTACGCTGTAAGAAACCAGTGACAAAAGAGCCACATACTCTATGATTCCATGTATATGAAATGCCCAAGAGTAAATCTATAGAGACAGAAAGTTACTTAGGGCTCAAGAGTTGGGGGAAAGTGAGGAGTGACTGTTAATCAGCATGGAGTTTTTCCATAGAGTGATAAAAATGTTCTAAAATTGATTGCAGTGATGCTTGCACAACTCTGTAAATACACTAAAAACTACTAAATTGTACACTTTAGGTGAACTGTATGACATGTGAATTTTATTTCAGTAAAACTGTTAGAAAATAATAACATTTGTCATTTCTGGATGATGAACAATTAGTAATCTTTATTTTTTTATTTACATCATTTTGTAATTGCCAAATTTTTGGTAATGACTAAGACTATTGTTTTTTAAAATCAAAGGGAAAATTATTTCTCAAAGTGCTCCTTATGAGAAATACAGTGGTATTACACTGAGGATTGAGATGGAATTGCCACTTGAATTCATTTAGTTATTCATTCATTCATTCATTCATTCATTCAATATATACTATGTGTTCCAGGAATTGTCCCAGCCTGAGAAAAGTTCTAACTCCAAATCAACAAATTACATCAATTTAACACAGACAAGACTTCTCTCTTGAATTCAAAAGATCAATTATACATCATACCACCCACTGACTTAACAGCTTTACTTCTGCACCGAAGGTTATATTTAACTATGCAAGAAGTACCAGAAAATTCTCTCTTCATTTAAATAACCTGTTTCCAAATTTTAAAACTCCTTTTAATATTTTTTTTAAAAAAAGAATGCAACATTTCATAGTTTGATAGCAGAAAATTCAATTTTTACCAAAAATTCAATTAGCAACAAGAGGTAATAACCCAAAAACAATGAGAATCACTTAAGATACTTTATTGGCTATCAGGTCGATCATAACAAGCATCTTTATGTAAACTGTTACCAAGATTAAAACAAAGTCAAAAGAATTCCTTGGCAATAGTCTGTCCTGAAATTGGAAAGATCACAGGCTGAAAGCATGGAAGAGAAGGAATAAGAGGTATATGCTATTTTTGTTATTTCAGGTACATGTACGTAACACCTATCTGCTGAAAATTAAATACTCAATCATAATCTCCAAGGATAGTACCATCAAAAGGTTTTGGGGGAAGTGGCTGGCCTCATTTAAATTCTTAATTAGGAGGACAAAACAAGGCATCTGTATTTTGAAAAATTTCACTGGTTACACTGAAGTGCAGCCAGGCTTAAAAATCACTGCATGAAATAATACTCCTCAAAGGAAACAAGGGAAAGAAAAATCTGTTTCATAATTTAAAAATTAGAGTCAACATAGCAAGTACACTGGAGGGAGAAAAACTTGAGAACAAGGAGACTAAAGACACACTAACCAAAAGCCTGGTGGAGGCATGTGGGGCTTGAACCAGGGAAGCAGAAAGCAGAATGGATCAAGTCAAGTCCAAGCAGAGGCTACAGGAATTACTGACCATATAGTTGTGGGAAGTGAAGGAGAAACAAAAGGCAAAAGTGACTCCAAGGTCTCAAACAGTAACCAGATGGCAAGGGATACCATCAACCAATGAAGGGAAGACAAAAAAGAAGCTGGTTTGAAACCTAAAGAGTAACCAGACAAAAAGTTCAAAAGGTTTTAAGGTTTTGTAATGTCGTACTTGTCATGTTCGACTAAATTGGGATTTTGAGTACATCTCCTATAATACTTTGTAATGTCCTACTAAAGTTGGATACTGACTACATAGGGGTTCGTTTTATTATTGTTTTTCAAATTGAACATACAAATATCACAAAATTCAGGTACAAACAAGGAGTTAAAGCCCTTATGTATCATATATACAATAATGAAAAAAGTGGTGGGGGGGGAAGCAAAGTTGAGGTAATAAGTTTGGTTTGGGACCTACTGAATTTGCAGAAACTAAAGAACTACATCACTCATGAGACTGAAGTTACAGAGAACAAAAGAGAAATTAGAGAAGTGTGGAAATGGTTAGCATACAAAGATAATGCTATGGAAGCAAAGGATGTAGATGGGAAGTCTCAAGGACAGCCTCTGAAAGACCCTGGGATGGCGAAGAGCCAACAAAAAGGAGTCAACCAAAAAGAATAATTAAAAGGGATAGAAGCCCTTACTAACCCCTTTCCCTCTCCAAAGGCATACAGAAGAAAATCAATTAAAAAAAAGAAGAAGAAGAAGAAGCAGCAGCTACCATTTATCTTCCTAAATTCCTGTGGTAAGTCCAGAATTTCCAGTTAGGTGGAGTTAGAGGAATAATCTGTTTGAAAGAGGGCCTGAGGATGTGTTTATCAAATTAGAAAATATTAACTGACCACATGAAAACACCAAGAGAACGAGTTTTGAGAGAAATAATTCCTCTCCCTTCCGTCATTAACACTGCTATATACCAGGCATTGCATGAAACTGATCATCTAATCTTTTATCCCCCTAATAAACTTATTAGATGGATGAGGAAACTGAAGCTGGAATAGAATAGAACTGGAATAGAAACTTGTTCAGGGTCACAAATCTTCCAAGGAGTACTCTCATCTGGGTTCCCAGAGCTCTCATAGCTCTTTATACCTTCCTAGAGTTTCTCATTACTCATCTTATTTAATGTGTATATATGTGCCTCTCTCACTGTACTGTTAGCTTCTCAATGACAGGGTTTGTATCATTCATTTCTGTATTCTTATAGATAGGAATAAGTAAATAGTGTGTTGAATTAAGCATATGAAAGAACTAGGTGAGAACAGCATCAAGAATGCCAACTGGGGAAAGAGTTTCAAGAAATGGTCAACAGTGGCAAATGCAGAGAGAGCCATCAGTGTATCTGAAGTCATCATTGGCACTGAACTGATGTCCCTTATTCATTTATGAAACGCCTACTATATGCAGGACAACGTGTTAAGCACAACGGACACGGAAAAATAAAATCTGGTACACGCCAAAAGGTTTTCGGAGAAGTAGCCACATCTAAATTCTTGATCGGGAGAGCAAAGTAGAGTCAGGCCTGTAACTGCCTACACCTAATCTGGCTCAGGTAAATCTGAAAACTACTTAAAAGGGTCACAGTGCATCTTTTAAGAAAACTTCTGATGGGGCACACGAGATGAAAAAGGGCCAGTGCACCTCAGTCTCGGTGATGAGAGCCGGTGGCCAGGGAAGCCGACTCCCTCCAGGGTCTCTGGCCCCCAAGGAGAGCTGACGCTGCCCCTAGCTGCCAGTCCGTGGTCGGGGGCGGGAAAAAGCAAGACACTTACCGCAAAAAGCACCGCTACCGCTGTGGCCCAAAGGGGCCGGGGATTCTTTCACGAGGCCCCCGCGCCGTGGGAGGAAACCAAGGAAAGCAAGGATCAGACAGACAGGTGCGACCCCACAGCCCGACTTCCCAAACTATACAAACTGGGGCTCCGGCGCCCAGCACCGCGACGCCAACTCCCACCAGCTGGAAGACCGACGATTGCCACCGAACCTTCCGCCCAATGAGGAAACGTCACCACTCGCCGAAGTCCAGCCTTTCATGAAAAGGATACACTTCCGCTTCCGGGGCACCTGCCGCATTCTCTCCGTACTTCTACTGAAAAGGTTTATTGAGATGTTTCTTTGCTTCGATTGGCTTTTTGACACTCCGTTTTCTATCGCTTAATCTCTGCGACAGCAAAGTGGCAAGATAGAACGCCCTCTGGGGATGCGATCCCAGGAAAGAATTTCGACCTCGATAAGTCGCTTTAAGAAAAAGTGACGAGGCTGTGCACGGCCAGTTAAGAGGGGAGCGGTGAGACTTGGAGGGGCGATTAGAGAGCAGGGAGTCCTCCCCGGGAGCACGTGAGAACTCCAAAAAGGGGCGGGGCTTGGGGATTTCGCAGCTCAGGCGGGTTCCGCTGCGTCGGATCTGGCGTGGAAACCCCGTTTCTGCCTGCGCGTGCGCAATGCGAACCTTCCCCTCGGCTGCTTTCAGCTTTCAGCATGGAATTCCGCTCCGCAAGGCGAGCAGTCCTACAGCTGCTGCGTACGGTGACTCCCGCAGACCTCCCAGCGCTGCTCGATTGGATGCGAACTACCCGTAAGCGACCAGAGCCAGATGCAAGGGGTTGGGGCAAGGATGTGCTATGGGCGCTGACCTTGGGGACTTCAGACTGGGTGAGGCCGAAAGCCTCCTAGGGGTCGCTGTGCTGGTCCCCGCTCGATTGATGGGGGCACTTCGCAAAACTTAGCAGCTTCAGAGTCCAGTTTGGGATTGGGTGCAGGATCACCTGGCTTTCGCTTGTTTTTGACTGCGCTGTAGACTTCAGACAAGCCCCTAGAGGCTCTTTGTAGCTAAGCCTTTTCAGAGGGGAAAGAAGGGGAGGGGGATTTTGCCCCTTCTCCCTCCCCCCATTACTCCCACAAACTTGGGACTACCTGTGAAGAAACTACCTGAAAAAGCACTTTGCAAAAGAAGTTTCGGGCTGTGGAGCAGGAAGCTTTTACCCCTGCAAGCGAAATTACCTGTTGGCTAGTGCACTTATTTTCTCAATTGTAAAACGGACCGTCAATTTGATAGCAGTTTTTCGGGGGTGAGGGAAAGGATAGAAGGGGGTGGGGATAGGGAGAAGACTCTGATTTTAAACTGTTAGTAGAATTAACAGTAATAAAAGGCGCAAGTTAGAATCGAGGAAATGAGGCGATTAGGTAGACTTATTGAAGAATGATTAGATCTGTTTTGGCAATGTGAGGCCTGGTGAAGCACACGAAAATGGGATATTCCTTGTTTGGGAGCTGTGCCAACCTAGGCTATGCCTCTGTACCTCTCAGCGTTGAATCCTATGTTTATTTACATCCAGACCCATGACTTGAAATATTCCTCTGTGCTAATGACTTCCAAACTTGACTTCTTCCTAGAACGCTCTTTCTTTGTGATTTTAGAGTCAATCAGTAGGTTGGGTATTATTATTATTGCATATTTGGAGAAATTGTTTTAGATAAGATGCCAAACTGAAATTAACTTGGACAACTGGTAGTGAAGTTTAGCCTGGAAAAGTAGAGAAAACCAGACAGGTAACTTCATACGTACACACATAGCAAGATTCAAGGGAGGAATTGCTGAGTCTCCTGTCTTTTTTTTTTTTTTTTAAGATTTTATTTATTTATTTGACAGAGAGAGATCACAAGTAGGCAGAGAGAGAGAGGGGAAGCATGCTCCCTGCTGAGCACAGAGCCCAATGTCGGGCTTGATCTGAAGACCCTGAGACCATGACCTGAGCCCAGATCCCAGGACCCTGAGAGCATGACCTGAGCCCAAGGCAGAGGCTTAACACACTGAGCCACCCAGGCGCCCCTCTCCTGTCTTTTCATTAAACCTTCTATTGCCAGTCTTATCGATCATATCCCAATTAATTATACAATGTGCTAATTTCCAGGGTTTTTTCTGCATTCCTCAGAACAAAAACTTAACTCCAGAAACCCCGGAGTGCCTACAAAAATGCCACCTACTGCCTGGTTCTGGCAATTGCACAATTAACTAAAATATCCTTGTCCTCAAGATTTCAGTTTTATGGAACCATTTGTAATCTAAATCTCCAGTTTTAGAGGCATCGTTTGAGAACTTCATTTTTCAAAATCAGGAGAACTTGCAAGGATGTTTTGGGTGATAATTCTGGAAAAAAGAAGACCCAGTATCACTGGCTAAACAGTACCTTTTTACTCTTAAAAAGCACTTTCTGTGCCTTTCTCCAGCACACCCTGTAGTCAGAGAAGCTCATGCATTTTGTTAAATGATTTAGAAAACAACCTGAGTTTCTGAGAATATTTATTAACGTGAATATTTTAAGAAATGAGGGTATCACTTAAAACGGAGTGTTTTAACATATATCTTAAAAGACAACTTACTAGTATACTGTTTCAGTGGTAAAAAATGTATAACGTCACATTTACCATCTTAAGCTATTTTTTTTTAATTTAAATTTTATTATTATTTTTTAAACATATAATATATTTTTATCCCCAGGGGTACAGGTCTGTGAATCGCCAGGTTTACACATTTCACAGCATAAGCTATTTTTAAGTACACATTTCAGTGGCATTAATACTTTTACATTGTTCAGATCACCATCATCTATCTCCAGAACTTTCTCATCTTCTCAGGCTGAAACTAAGTATACCGTTTTATGAAGTGGCTCTAAATAGGGCACAAAAGATTCTTACTATTTTCCTAATCAGTGTCCTTTTTCTAGGAAAAGAAATTATCTTCTATCTCTAGCATTAAGTCACTTGCATAATATCTCACTTTTCTGACATATTCTTAGACCTTCAGCAATTATAATTCTCTTTAAAATTTTCTACCATTTAATGGAATAGCAAGAGACAATAGTAGACACTGAGTATGACTTTGGTTTTGAGTTTCATAGTTTATTGAAATTAAAAAACATTACAGGTAAAATCACAATAATTTTAGATACACAAAAGAAAGAATAATATTCTTGATATCTGAGGGAGTAGTGGGATTATCTCACCAAGACCTGGCATCTTTTAGGATCAGGCTGGTAGAACCAGAAGCTTGCACCAGGGCAGAGCCAAGTACATGTCAATGCCTGATAAACTGAAGATTTAGAAGAAATAAAGATAGGAGCCTACATTTTACCTTGGGTGCAGCATAGGCCAAAGATCTAGGAAACAACACTAATATAGGAAGGATGAATCAAGTCTGAGGGGCAAAGCACACAAAGATACCCACCCACACCCCACCAAAAAAGAGTAAAATACAGCAGGATCTCAGCTGATTGATTCTTATCTTGTGGCACAGCATCTGTTTTCTTCTATTTCCTGTATGTATGCAAAGTGGGCTCTTGATCTAGATTTCAAAGTATAGGAGAGTGACTGCAATCCATTAAGTGAAGGGATCTAAGAGCCAGAATTGCAAGTGGGATCCCCAATAAGCATATAAAAAAATACACTGGGGGATATCTGGGTGGCTCAGTTGGTTAAGCCACTGACTTTTGATCTCAGCTCGAGGTCTTGATCTCAGGGTCATGGGTTCATGCTCTGCTTTCAGCTCTACCCTGGGCGTGGAGCCTACTCAAAAATTATTTAAAAAGGGCGCCTGGGGGGTGCCTGGGTGGCTCAGTGGGTTAAAGCCTCTGCCTTCGGCTCAGGTCATGATTCCAGGGTCCTGGGATCGAGCCCCGCATCGGGCTCTCTGCTCAGCAGGGAGCCCGTTTCTTCCTCTCTCTCTCTCTGCCTGCCTCTCTGCCTGCTTGTGATCTCTGTCAAATAAATAAATAAAATCTTTTAAAAAAAAAGGGGGGGGCCTGGGTGGCTCATTGGGTTAAGCTACTGCCTTTGGCTTAGGTCATGGTCTCGGGGTCCCGGGATCAAGTCCCGCATCGGGCTCTCTGCTCAGCGGGGAGCCTGCTTCCCCCTCTCTCTCTGCCTGCCTCTCTGCCTACTTGTGATCTCTCTTTCTGTCAAATAAATAAATAAAATCTTTAAAATTTTTTTTTTTAAAAATACATTGGAACAGCTGTTAACAGTGCTTTTCTGAAGCCTCTGAATTTTTCTTGGATATGCAAATACAAATGAGAAAGTCAAGCCCACAGCCCATACGAATGCCTATTAAGAATCAAGTTGCAAAGGATAGAAAATTAGGGTTTGCTTTAAGAAGATTAATAAGGGACGCCTGGGTGGCTCAGTTGGTTAAGCAGCTGCCTTCGGCTCAGGTCATGATCCCAGCATCCTGGGATCGAGTCCCACATCGGGCTCCTTGCTTGGCAGGGAGCCTGCTTCTCCCTCTGCCTTTGCCTGCCATTCTGTCTGCCTGTGCTCGCTTTCTCTCCCTCTCTCTCTCTGATAAATAAATAAAATCTTAAAAAAAAAAGAAGAAGAAGAAGAAGAAGATTAATAAAATCATCAAAAATTAAAATTAATGCTTAAAGAAGATAATAGTAGTTGACCAGAAGCTTTTAGAAGCTTTACTGTATCCTGTATTTTAAGTATATCTTCACTGACCAGAATTGGACATGTTTGTGAGCACAGCTACAGAGCTGTTAGAAGTTCTTTGAAATTCCTGCAAATCTAAAAATCCAACCCGTTTCTAATTACGTTTGTCAGACAGCATACTGCCCCAGTTCCATATTGCATTACCACTGAGGAAGTATCAATATAACAAAGATATTCCAGGCTTTATTGAAACCATATGAATCTATGAAAGTTATCAATTACATGTGGTAACAGAAATAGATTGTTTCTTCAAAAACTAAAAAGGTATACTGAGCAAATTGGTACCTCTTTTTTTTAATTGGTATCTCTTAAAAATTTTTCTATTAAATAAAAAGAATTATACTTTTCTTTAAAGTACTTTTATACCTTAATATATTGTTGTATATTAAGAATGGACATGATATATGAAAAAAAAATACATCACAAACAAGTGAGTTTATCCCAAGAATGTATTGTGCAACATTATAAAATCAATATAACTCACCATATTAAGTAAAAAGAAAAACTATGTTGTTATCTCAATAGACCAGGAAAAGCATTTGACAACATCCAACATCTCTTCCTGATAATAACTCTCATCAGACTAGAAGGGAACATTCTCAACCTGATAAAGGGCATCTGTGAAAAATCTGCAGCTAATCTCATACCTAACAGTGAAAGACTTGAGTTCTTTCCCCTAAGATCAGAAACAAGAATGTGTACTCCTCACTACTATCATCATAATACAGCTTCTGGCTAGTATGATATGGCAAGAAAAAGAGGAGGTGGGAGGCATTTCAATTAGGAACTGGTGAATGGATAAACATATTGTAGCATATTTTTATAAGGGGATGCTACTTGGCAAATAAATAGGAAGACATTTGTACAATAGCATGTATAAATTATACTAAGTGAAGGAAACCACACTAAAAAAGACTGTATACTATATAATTTCATTTATTTAAAATTTGAAAGTGCAGACTAACCTGTAGTGACAAAAAAATAGGTCTCTGGCGGCTGAATGAGTGGAGGGGTTAGAAGAGAAGGATTATAAATGGTCAAGAAGAAACATTTGGGGGTCTCAGATATGTCCACCATCTTGATTGTTAAGTGATAGTTTCATGTCTGTATACATACATCAAATTTGTATAATTATATGCTTTAAATATGTACAGTTTATCATGTATGAATTCTGTTTCTATAAAGCTGTTTTTGTTTTTGTTTTTGTTTTTTTTAATGGCTGAAAGTTCTTTAACCCTCATTCCATGAGAGGTCTGATCTGTATTCTCTACCTTTGAGTCTGGATGGGCTTTGTGACAGCTCTGACCAATAGAATATGACAGAAGTGACACCATGTCAGTTTCAGATCCAGGACTTAAGAAACTGGCAACTTCTACTTTCTGTCTCTTGACATTCTTGGTCTGAGAGAAGCTAACCATCATGTGTGCAGTCTGACTACCTTGAGATCATCAAATTGTCAGGAATTCCCAGCTTTCCTATGGAGAGCAAGATGCCCAACCAGGGTATAACTGTTCTTACCATCCAAGTCCAGGCACTAGAACATGTGAGTAAAGTAGCTATCTGAAATGCCTAGTCTAGTCAAGTCTTTCTTACAAATAACATTGCTTGAACATGTGTAGATTTTTCTGTTAATGTAAGTTTTCATCTCTGTGATAATATTCAAGAGTGCAATTACTGGGTAATACGGTAAGTGCATTTTTAGTTTTATGGAAACTGCCAAACTGTTTTCCAGAGTGGCTGTAGCATTTTGCATTTATACAAACAGTATATGAGTAATCCAGTTTCTCTGCATCCTCACTTGCATTTGGTCTTACCAGTATTTTTTCATTTTAGCCATTCTGTTAATTTGTGTAGTGATATATCATTGGGTTTTAATTTCCATTTCCCTAGTGATGCTGAACAATTATTGTTCATGTGTTTATTTGCCATTTGAATATCCTCTTTGATGAAATATCTGTTCATATCTCTTGCCCATTTGTTTTTTAGATTTTTTGTTTTATTTATTTGACAGACAGCGATCACAAGTAGGCAGAGAGGCAGGCAGAGAGAGAGAAGAGGATGCAGGCTCCTTGCTGAGCAGAGAGCCCTTTGCGGGGCTCCATCCCAGGACCCTGGGATCATGACTGAGCTGAAGGCAGAGACTTTAACCCGCTGAGCCACCCAGGCTACCCTCTTGCCCATTTTTAATTGTATTTTTGGTATACTGTCACTTTGAGAGTTCTTTATGTATTTTAGATATAAGCCCTTTGTCATATGTGTGGTTTGCAGATATTTTCTCCCAGTCTGTAATTTGTTCATCCCCTTAACAAAGTTTTTAAAAGCAAAAATTTTTTAATATTGATGAGGTCCAACGTATCCACTTTTCCTTTTTTGGCATCAACTTTAAAAACTCTGTTTAGCTCTAGATCCCAAAGATTTTCTCCATTTTTTTTTAAGATTATTTATTTATTTATTTGACAGAGAGATCACAAGTAGACAGAGAGGCAGTCAGAGAGAGAGAGGGAAGCAGGCTCCCTGCTGAGCAGAGAGCCGGATGCGGGGCTCGATCCCAGGACTCTGAGATCATGACCTGAGCCGAAGGCAGCGGCTTAACCCACTGAGCCACCCAGGCGCCCCTCCATTTTTTTCTCCTCAAAAATTATACAACACTATATTAGTGTCAAGTTCTATGTTATCATTGTCTTTTTCCTAAAAGAACTGTGCTTTTGTCTTTTGCATATAATTCTTTGGTCCAAGTTAATTTTTGTGTAAGGTGTGGAGTTTAGGTTGAACTTCATTTTTTCCCCTATAGATGTCCATTTCCTCTAGCACCATTTGTTGAGAAGGCTATCATAATCAGTTGGGCATTTTTGTGTGGATCCATTTCTGAGCCCTCTATTCTGTTGATTTATGTCTCTCTCCCTGACCAATACCACGCTGTCTTGATTACTGTAACTATTGTTTAAAAGTACCTTCTTTAACTTCCAAGTGTTTGGAGATTCGCCTGTAACCGACTTCCAGTTTAATTCCATTTATGGTCAGAAAAGACACTCTGCATGACTTCAGTTCATTTAAATTTTTCTGTATTTGTTTTATGACCCAGGATATGGTTTATCTTGGTGAAAGTTCGATAGGTACTTGGAAAAAAGCTGTGTATTCTACTCTGTTCAATGCAGTGTTTTATAAATATCTGTTAGATCTTGTTAGTCAGTTATATTTTTCGGTTCTGTTCCTTTCTGATTTTCTGCCTTTTAGTCTTTCAGTTGCTGAGAGTGGGGCAGTGAAGTGGGGCAGTGAAGTTTAATTGTGGATTTGCCTCTTTCTCCCTTCAGAACAGTTTTTGTTTTATTTATTTGAAGCTCTTGCTTAGTATATTCACATTCAGGATAACTATGTCTTTTTGGTGGATTGATCCTTTAATAATTATGTAGTGTTCCTCTTTGTACCTAATAATTTTCTTTGTTTTAAAGTCTAGTTATCACATATTAATATAGCCACTCCCATTTTTTAACTAATGTGGGCACAATATATTTTTCCTATCAGTTTATAAAAATTCATTCTTCCTATAATGTTATGTTTGAAGTGAGTTTCTATTGACAATATATAGTTGGGTTGTATTTTTAAATCTACTTTGCCAATCTCTGTCTTTTAATTGATGTATTTAGAGCATATACATTTAAAGTAATTATTGCTATATTAGATCTTAAGTGTGGCTTCTGTTTGTTTTCTGCTTGTTCTTTCTTTTTCTTAACCTATTTATCTCTGCTTGCCTTTCTATAAGTTACTAGGACAGTTTTAGAATTCTGTATTTGTTTTTCTGAGTATATCTCTTTGTATAGTTTTCTTTGTGATCACTCTTTTTTGTAGTTAAATATATATGTAACCCATCATCATCTACTGGTACAAGTGTTTTATCACTTGAGTGGGGTATTGAAATCTTACTTCCATTTAGTTCCCTTTACCATCCCCCACTTTTTAAGTACAATTGTTTTATATTAGATAGTTATATCAGATGATTTCATAAATTTTGATTAAACCATCAAATATGTTTTAAGAAATTAATGACAAGAAAGATAGTCTCTTGTACTTACTCTATTTTTACCCATCCTGTTTTTTTCCTTTCTGAAGTTCCAAACCTTCTTCTGCTATTTCTTTTCTGTTGTAGAACTTCTATAGCCATTCTTTAAGGGTAGATCTACTGGCAACAAATTCAGTTTTTCCTCATCTGAGGATGTCTTTATTTCCCCTTCATCTCTGAAGGAATTTCATAAGATATAAAATCCACAGCGTACAGACCTTTTTTTTCCCAGCACTTGAAAAATGTACCTCCTTCTGGTTCCTATGGTTTCAGATGACTAGTTCACTGTCATTCAAATGGGTATCTGCCTACAGAGAGTGAATCATTTCTCTGATTTTGAGGTTTGTTCTTTGTCTTTTATTTTTAGAAGTTTAATTATGATATGTCCTTGTGTGGATTTCTTTGGGTCTATCCTATTTGGAGTTTCTCAGTTTCTTAAAAACCAAATTTGGGGGGGTTTTAGCTATATTTCTTCAAATGCTTTTCAGACCCACACTCTTTCTCCCACTTCTGCAACTCTGATACTACTATTAGATCTTTTGTTGTTGACCCACAGATCTCTGAGGCTCTATTCTTTAATTCAGTCTGTTTTCTCTCTGTTGGTCAGATGGAGTAAATTTTATGTCTGTCCTCAAGTTCAGTTGTTCTGTCCTCTGTCATCTCTACTATTAAGCCCATCCAGCAGGTTTTTTAAATTTTGATTATTGTGTATTTCAGTTTTATAATTTGCATTTCATTCTTTAACTTCCATTTCTTTGCTGAGATTTTCTATTTTTTTTAAACTTGTTAAAATTCATAATTGCTTGTTGAAGCATTTTTGTGATGGTTGCTTAAAATCCTCTGATAATCAAATTCTGGTTCACTTGGATATTGGACATATCATCCAAAGAATGTCAGATTCAGATTATGAAACAAATGATTATTTTTCCTCTTCTTTGTATGATAACTGATTTTTCATTATACTAGGATAATTTTGATTGTATCCCTGATATTTTGGAATATCTGCGATATCCCAAGTTGCCATCTTGTCTTATGCTCTTGTTCTTATTCAGATTTTTTATCTTAATAGGCAGTTGCCTTGCTTAGTTTTAACTTACTGGTTCTTGGCCTGATAGCAATTTAGTTTTCAATGTCCTTGAGTGCTCTTCAGCTCTGCTTTGTTCTTTGACACTGCAGCAATTCTTGTTGAATCTATGCTAGTGTCACCTGCATGGGGAAAGACTGGGCTACCCTGTCTCAATGAGCTGCCTTCCGCTAGTGGGGGTGGGGGAACAAGCAATTCAGAGCCTGTTTTATTCTCCACCACTGGGCAGATGGCTAGTAGATGCCAGACTGGATCTATTTATGCCCCTGGGTAGAGGGCCTGGAGACTGGATAGTCTGCTACTGCCCCAGGTGTGGAGTGGGACTTAGGGTTCCTCAGTAGGTCTCCCATTGTTCTTCCCCCTTTACCAGGCTTTGGCAAGAGACAGCAAGCTTTTCTTAGTTCTTTTTTCTTCCCCCTGTGCCTGTTAGTGGTTCTGGGATGCAGGTCTCTTTGGTGTCCAGTCTAAGCTACTTGGAAGATAAAAAGAAAACCCAGGCAACTCCCTACTGTGACCTTTCTTAAGTCCTAAGACTCCTAGACAGTTTACCTTTTCTTTCTAGCTTTCAGAGTCTTCATAATTGCCTGTTGAATATTTCCAGTGTATTTAGTTGTAGGTAGAGGGAAGGAACAGAGGAAAGGGAGGAAAGTTGCCATCTTGTCTGGGACCAGAAGTCCCCTCAATAAATTTTGAAAATTTGAATAGGGACTTCAAGAATAATATATGATATGAATGAATAATAGGTAATATATAACCCTAATTATGCACTGTAAGTCATTAAAGTTAAGGATATGGGTGAGTTAAAGCTAGAAATGGAGCATAAAACCTCATGGAGAAAAAAAAAAAAAAAAAAAAAACCTCACGGAGACAAATAACTTGGACAGGCCCTTAATGCAAAGGGCAAGATCATGCAGTTGAAAGGAACAGTATGAACAGGAAGGGCTATGGAAAACAACTGGGAGGATTTGCCTGTCTTGAGGAGAAATTATGCCAGGGGGTGATGAGAATAGAAAATAGGATGGGTAGGCTCTGCTGATATAAAGGCCCTTAAATATCTAAAGTGAGATTTGCTAGGTTGAACAGTAGAAAAATGTCCAAAACTTGTAAGGGAAACAAGTGACACGAAAGTGAGGTTTAAGATGCCTGGCTGGTTCAATTGGTGGCACATGTGACTCTTGATCTCCGGGTTGTAAGTTCGAGCCCCATGTTGGTGTGGAGATTACTTGAAAAAAAAAAAATCTTGGAAAAAAAAAGAGAGGTTTCAGTGGGATTAGTTTAAAATAGATGTACAAGGTATTTTATAGTTGGGGAAAACCAATATCAAGGAGCTAGTTATGAGTTTGTCATGGTATGGTATCCAAGTGTGAGATCCAGACTGTGGTTATGAGGTGGTTGAAGTGGG